GTCCTCCCCGACACCACCCCGGCGAATCCACATGTCTCTCGGCATCAAGGCTCCCCTGATAAGCTAGTTACTCAGCCAGGGGTGTCCCATTCCACCCATGTGGTCGTACTTGTCTTATGTTCGGATGAAATTCCAAGGAAACGGTCCTTAGGTGCAAGAGTGGGAAACCGTACACCCGGTACGTTCCCCGGTCCGCGGCTTTGGAAAATCCATTTAGTTCGCAAGCACCGACCCAGGTGTCGGGTTTTCCAAGTCTTTTGTAAAACTCCAGTTTTACCCAAGTTGTTACTCAGATTTTAAGTTTGAAGGCGACCGTCGATACTTGCACAGAGTGCACGAGTATCGAGGCGCAACTGGGTGGTTACAAGGGGACATGGTATAGCAATTAACAAAGGAAGGATCAAATGCGACAAATTAGGTAGGTCCGCCAATCTGCCTTGCAGACGGGACAAACAGATTAAGTGCGATCTATCAATGCATAATATTTTGCAAGCAACATAATTAAATTTCAAATATAGGCTCAAGATGTTCAAAGGTGGCTTGCCTTGCTCGAGATCTGGAGCTTGATCCTCGAAATCCTCGCACTGCGGGTCTTCGGGCTCTGAAACTATACGCGAAACGGAACAACTCAACAAACGGCGAAAATAAAGCCCTATTAAAAACCTATAAGCGTGCCATTAGATAGATCTCGAGATTTGGGGAATTTTGGAAGTTGAACGGAGTCAAACGGATTTACGGTTGGGAAGATATTGAATTTCTAAGATTATTGAATTTTTGATCTAAAGGAAAAGGATTTAATTAAATCCTTTTTGGAAAAGAAAAAGAAAAGAAGGGAGGGAGGGAATATAGACTTTTCTCGGACGGCTAGGGCGCGGCCCAAGAGAAATGGAGCGGTCCGGCCGAGCTAAATGGGCCGGCCGGCCCAAGGCGGCCCAAACTCGCGCGCGCGCGGGAGGGAGGAGAGAGAGAGCCGGTGGACCGGGCTCACCACGCGCGGTCCCGGGTGGGACCCGCTTGTCAGCGGCTCGGCTCACCGTGCGGAGGGAGCACGCGACGCACGCGCGCGGGCGGGGAAGGGACGCAGTGCATGCGCGCGGTCCGCGGTGGACGCAGGTGCGGCGGGCCCACGCGTAGCCTCACGGCTCGCGGTGGATCGCGCGCACGCGGAGGGACCGACCGGGGTCGGCCCGACCCGGTCTGGCTATGCTGGCGCCGACGTGGCGCCTACGTGGATGCCACGCGGGCCGGCGGGAGGTAGACGACGACCCGGCCGCGAATGGACGGCGGGCGGCGGCGACGAGCGGCGGAGCGAACCACGGCGATACGGGCAACAGCGAGCACACCGGGCGGTTGCACGTGACAAGGGGAGGCGAGCCAACGGCTCGGATTCGCCGGAGGATGCTCGACGGTGGCGGATTGCGGTAGCGACAACCGGCGGCGGGAGAAGAGGGAAACGGCGACGAGGTCACGAGAGGTCGATTCCCGGCGGTGAGAGCATCTACGCGGCTTCGGGAACTCGACGCTAGCGTCGGATTGGGCGGAACTACGCCGAGCGAGGCCGGCGACGAGCGGGTGCTACGGAGCTCGGGCGGCGACGGCGGCGAGCACACGGCGAGCGACGGCAACGGTCGGGGCGGCGCCGGCTAACTACGGGGAGTCTACTTAAGCTACTACCGAAAGCTAGGGGGAGGAGATGGAGCGAGGAGGAAGAACGGAGAGAGACACTACCGTGCGGGACGGGGCGCAGTGACGAGAGGCCGACGGCGCGGGAGTGATCTCTCCGGCCTCGGGCCGGGGAAGAGGAGGAAGACGAGCGCCCGGAGTCCCCTTCCGCGTCCTAGTGCGCACCGGCTCCTCCGGCACACACGCGACGGCTGCGGTCGGCGAGAGGGACGGCAATGGCGCGGGCGAGAAACAGGGAAGAATGGGAGAAAAGGGAAGGGAGGGCGCCTGGGTTTATAGGGGGCGGCAATGTCGGTTTGGAAACCGACTTTGGCGGTCAAGGCGCGAGCTGGCGCTCCGGCTAGCGGCCAAAACGGCGACAGGAGGGAGGGAGGATGACGCCGGCGGGAGGAAAAGGGGAAAAAGGAGGGAGAGAAAAGGGGCTTGCTCTTTTGCCGATTCGGGAAAAGGGGGAGGGAGCGGGGCGACTCGGCAGAGGGAGAGGGGCTCTCTGCCTCCGCCCCTTGGAGGCTAGCGCGCGGAGTGGCGGGGGCCGGGCGATGACGACGGCGATGACGGCGGGGCGGTTTGGAGCGGCGCGACGACACGGGTGACAGACGCGTGCAAAGGCTGACGGCGGCGACGACCGGGCGGTCGGCCACTCGGCACGCGCGCGCGGCTTGCAACGGGCGGCGTCCGCGCGGGCGGCTTACGCAGGCGCGACAGAGCGAGGAGAGGGGAAGGGGGCGCTCGGCGCGGCGGCTCACGCGTACGCGCGTGGGCGGAGCGGAGGAGGAGGAGCACTCGGCGCGGCTCTTCGCGCACGCGCGCGCGGCGCGCGGGCGAGGCGGAGCGGAGCTGAGCGGGGGGGGAGGGAGAGCGGAGCGCGCCGGGGAGGAGAGAGGGCCGGGGGAGAGGGGGAGAGAGAGAGAGAGAGAGAGAGAGAGAGAGAGAGAGAGAGAGAGAGCGCCCGGGAGAGAGAGGGCCGGGGAAGAGATGGGCCGAGCGGAATTCGGCCCATCGAACCCGGGGGAGGCAAACTAGACTTTTGCGGAGGGATTCGATTTGGAAGGAATTGGATTCGGAATTGAACTCGACGATAGATCGGGAATTGAGATCTTGAGATGGCACGGACACTAGACAACAATCAAAGAAACAAATTTCGCAATTAGGGTTTTTCGGAGATAATTTTCCCGCTAGGCGCCACGACGGAACGGGCGCTACAGGATCCATGTTAAAAATTCCCACAATTACCACGTTCTACGCTGACTGCATGTGCCAACTGCTACCGGCAACAAATAATTCTTTTCTCAGTTGAGTTCAACTACAGTTTAGACTTCGATTTTTCCTCTGACATGTGCCACAGTAAAGTATATCAATCTCATCGTTTGGCTGTCACAAACGGAAAATAATTTGTGAATAAAACTTTTATATACGTGTTCTTATTGATGTAAAAGTAAAAACTGAAAAATAAACTTTGATAAAAAAACCTAAAATCAGTTTTAAATTTAAAATTAAAAATTTAAATTTTGGTTGATAAGTATAAGGATAAGCGACAAGGCAAGGCAGTATATTCCGTTCTCATTTTTCATAGAATCGATTGTAGACTCACTGGAGCAGCTATTAGAAAATGCAGCTAGCTTATCAACGGGCACCAGCACCACCACCTTAGTCCTGCCGTCGCTATCCGCCCGTGGCTGGCGCCGTAAGCTGTATCAGCCACCCAAGAGGCAGGCAGGAAATATGGATTATGGAATAAGCGTGGAAACGAGAGTAACCCCGAAGGCGACTGATCGGCGATCGGTCGATCGATCGGGCGAGAGGAGGAGAGAGACCGGTTGTCCATTGTGGTTTCTGTCGCGACGAAGCATCCAAGAAAGAGGGAGATAGGCATCGATCATCCATCGGCATGCGTCCGCACGAGGTCGTCCGGCCCCCATGCCCGCGACCTCACGCTCAATTTTTCCTCCACGAATGGTCAGCACAACACGTGAGGATTTGTCGAAAAGTCTATCCAGAACCCTTTTTTTTTCATTTTCCTTCGTTTATTGATCGGATGGATAGCGACAGCAGTTTGTTCTTCCTCCTCTGGTCATAACTCATTAATCTCTCTATATAGGTTTTGGTTTGATCATTCGTTGGATCCAGGGGGCAGGTTCAGTGCACCCAGAGAATGGTTGGGCCCAGGCGCAGCTGGGAATCCGTTTCGGTGTCCAGACGGGGCAACGCAAAGGCAAACATCTTCTTCTGTCTTTCTTTCTCCTTTCCTTTTTTTTTTTTTTAAGAAAGGAACATCTGAACTCTTCATAAACTGACAAAGTTCTTCTTCGCAATTCATCCATTCAGATACTATTAGCGTAGTGCAATCAATCGATATTGAGGTGCAATTCGAAGTTCTCAAAAAAAAAAAGGTGCAATTTGAATTACTAGTAGGTGCTGAGATGCAATGTCAACCCCTCTGAACGTACGACGTTGTAAACTTCTAAACTTTAATGGAGAAGAGCAGCGATGACGATCTCTCTCTAGAAGAGTCCACACCTCAAGTTTTACTGGTGGTATTAACTGGCAACTGGCAAGCAGGTAGTAGTACTATTCAATGACAACGATGCTGTCGCGTGTAAATCCACGTGGCATGGTAATTTTCCATGAAATGGTAGTTTGAGCATGTGGGGAAGCGTACGAGCTCAAATCAAATTAGGAAATCACCCTGAAGTTTCACCTGTCGCCCCTCCCTCTCGATTGCGACTAGATTGCCGCTGGTTTTTCTTCAACCGTGGAGCATTGACGGGTGGAGTCCGGCGAGTCATAGACGAAGAATTGAATCACTTTAGATTCGGTAATCTAAAGTGAAACAAATTCGCTTTCTTGCCCTCTCTCGCGTGGCGGTGTGTCAAACCTGGAAAGTCCAGTGGAAAGAATTTCGTGCGTGCACACATTTTAATCGCGTTCGTATATGTTCTGTGAGAATAGTTTCGTCCGTCTTGTTTTCTCCTGCGTCACAATTGTCCCGTATTATCTCATACTTCATCAGTGAATAATTTCATGAGTATTGTTGACTGTAGTATATACATTAGACAGGGTATAAGCTACTAAAGAGGTGCCCCGTACGAGAAAATCTAAAACTAATTAACACTTAACTCAAAAGCTATAAAATCATTTGTCATGTAGTTAGATGCTGACGTTTAGGCTACAGTGTTGCACCCAATCCAATCGCAAAACAATTTAGAAACCATTAATTAAATCACGTGGGGGATAATAACGCAGGAAAGTTCAACGAAACCAGAAGCGAGACGACAAAAGACGACGCACTCCCACTCTACTATATATTCTGGCGCGAACCCGACTCCCTCCACAATTCCGCTAGTCCGAGTCAAAACAAAATCAAATTCAAATTCACGGGATAATTCAAAGATGCTGCTTAATCCGGCGTCGAGAGAGGTGGCCGCGCTGGACAGCATCCGGCACCACCTCCTGGAGGAGGAGGAGGAGACGCCGGCGACGGCGCCGGCGCCGACGCGGCGGCCGGTGTACTGCCGGAGCTCAAGCTTCGGCAGCCTCGTGGCCGACCAGTGGAGCGAGTCGCTGCCGTTCCGGCCCAACGACGCCGAGGACATGGTCGTGTACGGCGCCCTCCGCGACGCCTTCTCCTCCGGCTGGCTCCCCGACGGCTCATTCGCCGCCGTCAAGCCGGAGTCGCAGGACTCCTACGACGGGTCCTCCATCGGCAGCTTCCTCGCGTCGTCGTCGTCCGAGGCGGGGACGCCCGGGGAGGTGACGTCGACGGAGGCGACGGTGACGCCGGGGATCAGGGAGGGCGAGGGCGAGGCCGTGGCGGTGGCGTCGAGGGGGAAGCACTACCGCGGGGTGAGGCAGCGGCCGTGGGGCAAGTTCGCGGCGGAGATCAGGGACCCGGCCAAGAACGGCGCGCGCGTGTGGCTCGGCACGTTCGACTCCGCCGAGGAGGCCGCCGTGGCGTACGACCGCGCCGCCTACCGCATGCGCGGCTCCCGCGCGCTCCTCAACTTCCCGCTCCGCATCGGCTCCGAGATCGCCGCCGCGGCCGCCGCCGCCGCCGCGGGCAACAAGCGGCCATATCCCGACCCGGCGAGCTCCGGCTCTTCTTCCCCTTCATCCTCTTCCTCCTCGTCGTCGTCTTCCTCCTCCGGGTCACCGAAGCGGAGGAAGAGAGGCGAGGCCGCGGCCGCGTCCATGGCCATGGCACTGGTTCCACCACCGCCACCACCGGCGCAGGCACCGGTGCAGCTCGCCCTCCCGGCCCAGCCATGGTTCGCCGCCGGTCCGATCCAGCAGCTGGTGAGCTAAGTGGCGATGTGGTAGTGGTAGTGGTGATTTAGCCATCTTGTGCGACTGTGCGTGATCGATTGCTGCTTGATGGGTCGAGCAAGTTCAGAACAGAGCATCACTCTCTGCAGAATAGAAGAAGTTCATGAACAGAGCAATGCACTGCTCCAAGAAATGTGACGAGTTCCAGGCAATCACGCCATTGTTCTTGGATGATTGCGCAGCACCAGAAAAAAGGGAAAAAAAAGATTGTTTGTGAAATGTGGTGAGGTTTTGTAAGACTTGCACAAAATTTGAGAAAAAGAAAAAGATCAATACATATAAAATCTTACTAGAAAAAAGACTTTCTCAAACCGTTTCTAGAAGGGAGAATACTCTTTGGTCTTTGGTATAACAGTCGCACAATCGGACATTCCTTTCAAACTATAGCAGGTTGCTGTTTTATCGTTTAGCGAACGTCAGATCTCATTAGGCTGCGTTAGAGTGAGCGAGGGTGAAACGGAGAAAATTTTCATTCTTTTTTCGTTTTGTGGATCTTCTTCTCTTTTCACTTCCATTCAAACACACCCTAATTTCAACCATACTATGCAAATTTTATTTTGAATCACCATTTATTATATTTCACCTTCTGTTATTTTTTAACCAATGTTTTCACCAAAGACTAGATAAATTTGTCCTTTTTCACTTTGGACTATCCAATTCTCTTTTAAGCATGTGAACGATCTCGTCAATTCTTACTCGTCAATGAACTTTTACAACTATATGTAAAATCATTTATTTAGCATATGACAAATTGAATGAAATAAATAAAAGAATTAAAGGTGGTCTAAAATATCGTATAGATAAAAAATAACTGATTTAAAGTGAAAACATTTATTAAAGGGTGATAGAAAGCGAAACATCAATAATAAAAAGTGATCAAAGTAAAGTTTACTCTTAATTGCAAAGAGAAGGCGCAACAAATTCTAAATGAGACAATTGCGAATCTCCATCATGATGTAACAAACATTACATATATCAAAGGTTGCAAATGAATTGTCAGTTGCAATAATTAATTACTACCAAGTGAGATTCAGTCCAGGCTTACTGGGGAAGTAGGTGCTAGAAGTTCAGAGCGTTCATCTCACTGGTGCATTGATGCAAAAATTAAATTTATGAAACCATGTTTGACCGAAATGGAAGATAGCTTGTTTGACTGATAAACCATGGGATGAGAGAGGAGAGGAGGTACCCATTGAAACTGAAGATTTTGTTGGGGTCAACAGATGGAGACCTGAACCTGAACAACAAAATCAAATCGAATTAGCTAATCCTACATGTCATAGCCCTTAATTAAGTTAATTGCAAAACGGTCGGCACGTGCAATACTGGCACGCACTAGCGGATTAACCATTTTTTTTGAACGCAGCGAATTAACTAATCACCCAGTTGCTGACTAAAAGCCGTCGTTCGGTGCGATCTGGATGGTTGGTGGAGCAAGAGGGCAAGTTGATGAGCACAAAGGACTGAAGATATTCTTTGTAATTACGCCGTATAAAATATGATTGACAAGAAAGCGGCCAAATGCAAGGTGTTTAAAGAACTAGCCCTTGTGCTTATCCATGATAATGGAGTGTCATTAACAGTTTGATGTAATAGGATTGCGTGGATTTGATCCCAGTCGTAATCAGGTGTCGGGCAATATGCCCACTGCCCATAACAAGTTCAAGGTGTCGAGTAGGAACGGATTAATTCTCTGGCTTAACTGTATGTCAGTTGCAGTTGAGTAGGATCTCCCTTGGTGTCGAGTAGTATTGTAGTAAGACATTTTTCTTTGAGAAAATTTTAAAAAATACCATTAACTAATACTCAAATCCAAAAAATGCTATCGATGAATGCGAGTTTCATAAAATGTCATCGCAAGAACGATTCTCTCATAAATACCATCGATGTTAGGGTTTCATTCATCACACGCCGTTCAATGTATTGTTCATCCTATAGTACTTAATGAATGTCTGCTAAAGGAGCTCTAACGACGATTGCATTTCTGGGACAAAGTTACTTGTATTTTGATATTTCATGAAACTCGTACTTATTAATAGCATTTTTTTTAAATTAAACGTTTGTTAATGTTATTTTTTGGATTTTTTTTCTTTTTCTTTCACCGGCTACTTATGAGTTTCATAGTGCTAGTGCAATATGACTCTCACCTAAAATCATGCACTAACCTGGTGATGAAAAATTGCCGAAAAACAATGTATATTTATACTCGGATAAACATTTAGAGGCCGGGTTTGGATACTTTGCCCCACAAACGTGTAGAGGCCGGGTTTGATAATCCTTTATCTAAAAAAAATTATACTCGGATAAACAGGGAAAATGCTTTGGATACTTTGCCCCTTCTCTTAAGCAAGAGGGTGCAGTTGCACATTGGATTTGGATCTCTTCCAAATTTCCAAGTTCACAACAGAGATTACTCTCGCCATCAACCTAGCTAGCCGGTCTTAGCTAGTTGGTGACGCATCAAAGTGATGGCGACAAGTGATGACCAGTCCATGGTGGTGCGCACGTGCGGGGAGCCGAGGCCGAGGAGCAGTTGATTGTATATACTCCCTCCGTCTTAAAAAAAAAAAAGCAAACTCTGGATTTCTGTGTCCAACTTTGACTGTCCGTTTTATATAAAATTTTTTTATAATTAGTATTTTTATTGTTGTTAGATGATAAACCATAATTAATATTTTATGCGTGACTTGTCTTTTTAATTTTTTTATAATTTTTTCAAATAAGACGGACGGTCAAACGTTAGACACGAAAATCAGGGTTTGTCTTTTTCTTTTTTTTTTGACGGAGGGAGTACTGATGATCACGACCATTGACGGGTGCTCTTTGTCATGAGGCCAGCCAGTAGGATCCAGACACGTGGATACCCTACACTCCCGTCTTGTTCCCAACTAGAGAGAACCAACCGGGGCAAAGAAGCAGGCAGCAATTTCACCAAACGTTCCAAACCCAAATCGATCACCAAACGCCCAAACCCTTGTGGGCTTGTTGCTGCGCTGCACGAGGTGTTGGCTTGTTTGCCGCGCTTGGGTTGGTTTGTGAATTGTGATGATTTTGCGGCTTAATGCTTCTGGAAAAAGAAGCTTTTCCAGGTCCATTTCAGTTTCAGCGGTGGCATGGCTAGCTAGCTTTCCAGGGCAGCAAACCGCAAATACGGAGTAGAACTGTAGAAGTGAGTAGGCGTAATCCGTGGCCAGCAATATCCGAGTCAGCCGCGCGTAATGAGTGCGTGGCAGGGCGCAGGACACGCACAGCAGGCAGATCGACGAGGGTCGAAAAAGGACAAGTCAAGAAGCACCAGAGTGACTGGGTATAAACTGGATCTAAAAAGGTTGAGATGAAATTTAATACTCCCTCCATCCCAAAATATAAATATTATTAGCATAGTTACAATTTAAACATTTATAACTTTAATCATTAATAGAAAAAAATAAAAAATATCAAACATGTAAAATTGATTTACATTGATGTTACTAGATTTATCATTAAACAAACTATCATAATATGTAACTCTTTTTATTTAAAACATATTATTTTTATAGATATTGTTGGTCAAAGTAGCATCTCGTAGACCGTGTCAGGGTATAAAAATACTTATATTTTTGGACGGAGGGAATAGGTTTTTGAGCTAAAAATATTTGAGAGCTAAGGTGATTTGTGAAAGGGCTCATAGGCTCTAACCAGTTGGATGGTGTCAAAACTTATATATATGTAAAAAAAAAGTTTGCTAATTGGAAGTGATTTTACTTTCTTTTTGAAACATAAACATTCATCAATAATGACAGATTTAGTGGACAAGCCCTAGTTGTCAGAGTTAGCTCCTTTCAAGGTGAAAGGTATATATGGGCATGTTTGAATTGAGGTCAATTGACCTACCAATTTATTTGTTTGTTTTGAATTGTACTTGCTAGCTATTTGGATTGAGACCAAATCTTGCTAATTCAGTAAAGTTGAAAATTTTGGTAGTACCAAATTTTGTCTAAGTTTCAAACACTACAAAATTTTAACAGGACTTCAAACCAAAACAAACCTATATGGGCTGATGGGCTTTTGATTCAGAATCGCGAAGCGACTGGTGTAGTTTAGAATTTTAGACAACACATCACACAGCGTTGGATGGGAGAGATATGTTTAGGACCAGAGAGTATTTCACGATTCTTGAGAAGAATATGAAAAAACATCTTCACCATCTCCCCAAATAGAACTGAGTACGCGACCATCACCTAGCAGGCTAGCACGATTTAGAACCATCTTCATTTAGAGAACTTTTTATAAGTTATTTGCTCGCTTTCTATTAATCCATATGAGCTACTTTATTTTGTCTATATTCTTTTTTTTAATGGAAAACATCACAGTAGTGCCTTTTCATTGAATAGAGCAGAAGAAAATACAACCCCTAAGGGTAAAGAAAAGAAACTTTGAGCTACACACTATACAATGTGCGGGACGAGTTCACGCAATCTTTTAGCCCCCGCTAGAGCCCATAGACTAGCCTCCTCCTTGATTCGTGTTAGAAGAAAGCCTATTGCCGCCTCTTTGTGGTCGAAGATCTGCCAGTTCCTCTCCTTCCAGATTTCTCAGACGACTAGCAGGATGAGAAATCGGAGGCCCTTTTTTGGACGTCGGGTGTATTTGCCAAGCTCTCCCACCATTGGTGGACTGACCGGGGTTCCTCCCACTCAGTCGGCTCCAATTGTTGATAGCCCATCCAAGTAGCAACTAGGTGCCAAATTCTCTTTCTGTATCTGCACTTGAAGACGAGGTGCAGTCCCGTCTCAGCTTCAGAACGGCAGAGAGGGCAATGTCCATTTTTTTGCCAGCCTCTTGTTGCAAGCCGGTCAGATGTCTAGACTCTATTTTGGATAATAAGCCATGCATGAAATTTATATTTCCCCGGCGCCCAGACTTTCCAGATCAGGGAGTTTAGACTTGAGTTTGGCACCCCTAAACACTGTGCATGATAGGCCGAGGAAGCTGTGTAGTGCCCATTACTTGTGAATCTCCAGGCAATCTGGTCCGGTTCTTCACTGTCTAGTTGCACATTCCGAACCGCTTCCCACAAACGGACCAGTTGCTCGACGAGGTTGATTGTGATAGGCGAGGCCGCATCGAGGGTCAGGTCATTCACCTAGGCGTCACCCTCTTTCCCTTGGCGCAGGGATTTTCTTCTATTTTTGGAGATCCCATAGACAAGTGGCATGAGATCTTTTGGTCTTTGCCCATCAATCCATGCAGAGTCCTAGAAGCGTGCCGTATTCCTATCTCCGACGGTTATCTTTGTCGAAGCAGCAAAAAAGTCCTTGTCTAATCCATCACAAGGCATCTCCAGTCCCACCCACGGTTTGGTTGGGTCCTTCCATTAATATCATAACAATCGCAATCTCAAGGCCCTTGTGAACTTGTCCAAGTTTAGGACTCCCAAGCCCCCCCCCCCCGGCTGATCGGCAGGCCCGTCTTTGTCCAATTGACTTTACATCCCCCCCCCAATCGTCAAGTTAGAACATGCTATTATTTCACAAATGGACCTCAGGTTGGTGCGCACCAACATCGACATATAATGTGTTGGAAATAAGGAGACTTGTATGGACCTGTAACGCACATATGATAACTTTAGCCATCTGCGTTGCTAATGTATAACTCTATAGAGGTTGATGCTAGAGCTATTGGTGTTAACTTCTTGTACGTTGATGCCACCTTTAGGTTTATGAAAACTAAATATGTAGATTTATGCTGCTGTGTTCTGTTGTCGACCTCTTCCCTATATGCAGGCCAATCACCATAATAGCTACACTACCAAGAAGGTTGACACTAACGATTTATAGGTAGACTCTCTGGTTTTGATGTCAATGTGAGGTCCAAACTTGGAATATATTTTGTAGAATTACTTTTTGCAAAGGACCAAGATGCAAAAATGTCGCTCAATTCAGCAACAATCAAACTCTACTAAAGACAAGCGTCGGTCGTGCTCACGTACGCACAACCCACTAACCCATCTTCTTCCTCGCTCATCCATTTCCTCGGACCAACTCGGCACGGCATTATCCTCTGCGCTCCGAACCACATTAATCACCTACCATGGATTCAGGGGCGAAGCCACTTTGGGCGGCCTGGGTGCCCAGGCACCCCCCAGATTCCTAAAATTTCTTAGAGATGAACAAATTTTGGCCCTTTAGGCACCCCTACAGCCCAATAGGAGGCACCCCCACCAGACCTTGAATCCCACGATGCCACTTATTCAGCCCACGACGCATCAGCTGCCCAACTCTTTTTCTCCTCACGACGACTTCGCGAGACGCGCCGTATACGCCGACGCAGCGACGCATCGACTGCCTGCCCTTCCTCCCGACTCCCGAGTCGCGACGCCGACGCCCGGAGCGAGCCGCTGCCCACGAAGACAGGACTGCACGAAGACGAAGCCGCTGCCCACGAAGACGCATCAGCTGCGCGTGCGACGATCGTGGCTGCCTGCCTGCCTGCCTGCCTCGCCGGCGTTCGACTTCGACGATCGACGTTCATCTGATCATCTCGCCGATCTCGTCCTCGTCAGCGTCAAAGACTCAAAGAGCCGCTGCCTGCTGCTCGACTAACTAGAGTGAGTGTTCGTCCTCTGTCCTCAAGGATCATCTCGCCGATCTCGTCCTCAATTAATTTTTTCTCTTTTGTGAACTGCAATTTATTTATACAAAATAATGAATTATAGGTAGCCATGGAGAGGTTTTATAAACCTAAACGGAAAGCTCAAGATATGATCGATGGTAACGGAACTTCATGTCCGGAAGAGATCAATTGGGATGAGGAGATTAAATATGATCCCGGATTGAGGAAAGAAATTGATGCTTACCATCCTAACCACAGAGAAAAGGTGAGAAGAAAATACTTGGAGAATGGACCTTGTCAGCCTCGCACATTTGATTTTCCTATTACACAACTTGGGGGGAAAGAGAAACCTAGAAGATTTAATCCAGAATGGTTTGATGAGTTCTCTTGGCTTGAATACAGTAAGGAAAAGGATAGAGCATATTGCTTTTATTGTTTCTTGTTTAGAGAAAAGAAAGATCCAGGATATGATGCATTTGTTGTCAACGGTTGGAATGGGTATCATAGGAAAGAAAGGCTAAGATCACATGTTGGTGAGGTTGGTGGTTTACACTATAATGCAATGAAGAAATGTGATGCTTTGAGAAATAGAAAGCAACACATAGATGTTGCTTATAATCAGATAAGTGAAGTTGCTAAGAAGGCCTATTTTATTCGGTTGAATGGTTCCATTGATACAGCTAGAGTATTGTTGAAGCAAGGATTGCCTTTTCGTGGCCATGATGAGTCAAAAGAATCCTACAATAGAGGGAATTTTAAGGAGTTCTATGATTGCTTAGCAGAACATGATCCAATTTTACACAAAGCCGTGACTACAAATGCTGCAAAGAATAGTTGTTTGTATGCTCCTGAAATTCAGAGGGACATTGCTGAATGTTTTGCAAATGAGATTGTACAGTCTATCCTGGATGATCTTGGGGATGATTTCTTTTGCTTGCTAGTTGATGAGTCAAGAGATGTTTCTTGCAAAGAACAAATGGCTGTGGTCTTGAGGTATGTTGACAAATTTGGGATGGTGAAAGAGAGCTTCGTTGGCCTTGTCCATGTGACTGAAACAAGTTCTGCCCACCTCAAGTCAGCCATTGATTCTCTTCTTGCAAAGTTTAAACTAAGTTTAAAGCAATGTCGAGGCCAAGGATATGATGGTGCTAGCAACATGCGAGGTGAGTTCAATGGGTTGCAGTCATTGATCATGAGAGATAGCAAATCAGCTTATTATGTGCATTGCTTTGCTCATCAACTTCAATTAGTTATTGTGGCAACCGTGAGAAAACATAAGGGCGTTAGCAATTTTTTAAATATGATTTCTATCTTATTAAATGTGGTGGGTGGGTCAGCTAAGAGAAGGGACATGATTAGAGATATCAATCATGAACAAGTGCAGCAAGCATTAGGTTGTGGGCAACTTGAGACCGGGACAGGGTTAAATCAAGAGCAATGTCTTCAAAGACCTGGAGATACTAGATGGAGTTCTCATTATAAAACTCTGAAAAGTTTGCTTAATATGTTCCCTACAATAGTTCAAGTGCTCAAGGTTGTTGAGAAGGATGACAGAGATTGGAAAAATAGAGATCAAGCATCAAATCTTTTGGTATACTTCCAATCTTTTGACTTTGTATTTTATTTGCACCTCATGTTGACTACATTAGCTGCCACAAATACATTGTCGCAAGCATTGCAACGCAAGGATCAAGACATTGTAAATGCCATTGGATGTCTGAAATCAACTAAACTCCATTTGGATGATCTTAGAACAAATGGTTGGGAAAAGTTATTAGATGATGTGAATCAGTTTTGTGACTTGTATGAAATTGATATGATGGAAATGGAAAGTACATATGTTGATCCCAGACAACCTAGGAAAAAATCAGGAATTACAAACAAGCATCACTATGCAGTGGATTGCTTTAATGATGTTATTGATTGGTTGGTTCAAGAGCTTGATAGCCGTTTTAGTGAGACAACCACTCAATTGCTTGTTTGCTCAGCCGCTTTCAACCCAAGAGACTCATTTCATGCTTTCGATGGAGAGACTTTTATGAGCTTAGCAAAACTATATCCTGATGATTTCAACAATGATGATCTGAGGGACCTTAGACATGACCTTCGCCTTTACATTGGTGATGTGAGAGAAGACAACGAATTCTCCAACATAAACACTATTGCTGAGCTATCTCAAAAGATGGTACAGACAGGAAAACATCAAGTGTATAGATTGGTCTATCGACTTTTGAAGCTTGTGCTAGTATTGCCTGTCGCTACAGCAACAGTTGAGAGATGTTTTTCGGGCATGAAGATTGTAAAAACAAGCTTGGCTAATCGTATGGGTGATCAACAATTGAGTCATAGACTTATTTGCTATATAGAGAAAGAGGAAATGAAAAAAGTTAGCAATGAGGCTGTGGTTCATCGTTTCATGACCATGGAAGGAAAAGGGCGCAAATATGATCTCTAAGAGGTAACACAAATGCAATGCACCTACTTTCGATTGATAATTGTACATTTTTTTTTGCTAAATGATTGACCTATTTGTTCTCTTTTTTTAGGATCCATCACATATTTTGTTATAAGGGACATCTTTGTGCACCACAGTCATCAATGTTGTATTCTTTTATTAATAGTGAGTATTATTGTCCATTCCCCTACTAGTTTACTAATATTTTCACGAAAGTCACTTTGCCATTACTGAAAGTTTAATTTTGATGTTAAAAATTATGTGTTAGCTATACTATTTGCTTGAACATCACAAAAGACATTATAGTCTTGATAAAGTTAGGCACCCCCCACCCATTTGCTCTAGCTTCGCCACTGCATGGATTTGCTTCGTGTCTCAGTAAACACCAACCGCCACGCACCCACACCAAGTCACCAACTCCTCCTCGGTCCTCGCCTTTTCTCCTCCTGGCGAAAGAGCTGCCTTATCTAGCTTCCACTTCCCTCGTCGTCATTCGTCAACCCGGCCGACCAGAAGCATTCCAGAAGCTAATTGAGCAAGCAGTGATAGAGAACAAAACAGCGGCAAAAGATTGCAAAAAATCGCTTTAGAAACATAGCATTACCGCGATAATTCATCCGTGTGTGTGTGGATTCAAATGCCAGCCTTTGTGAAAGGTGCGGCGCCACGCAATTCAAGCCTTTTTTTCACAAAGCAGACGCACTGAGACGCGAAAGCCGGGGGACAGAAGGGGAACAGTGGAAGGTGACACCGGGACACGTACGCAGGTCCGCGGGAGCTAGGGATAAGCGTCGCCGTGTTTCTGTACGTACGTACGTAGATCCTTCGCGCGGGTGAGTCAGTCGGTCGATCGGTGATGAGATCCTCTCCTTTTTCCAGTTTTTTCTCGACGAGCCGAGCCGACAGCCCACGATTCAGTTCGCAAAGGTATCAGCGATTCAGCGTCGACGAGACGATGACTCGGCGAGCGAGGCCGACGACCAGTGACTGCATGGAGTGTACACTGCAAATGGAAATCGGGCTCTTTACTACTCCTACCTATGGTCGAATGATTTATAACTGGAATAAAAACTGAGTTAGCCACGTGGCCGCATGGAAGCAGGCATGAGTTAACGGAATCCCTAAAATGCATGTGTCGCGTTCTAGTTCGTATCTACGCACCTGAATATGCGACATGCTCCTTCCTCCTCCTTTTCCCACCGCCCTTTCCTATCATTCGATCTTCTTTTGCCTTTCTTTTGTTCGTTCTCCATTGTGCTGTGTCCATAAACAACAACGCGACGCGGCCATTCCGACGAGAGCGCCGATACCGATAAGTACGTGCCATCTTTGACGCCACACTACACTACACCTAGCTCGCCTAAAACCTATACTTAGCTTAATTAGCTTCCCTCTTGCTCCATCAAATCACCTCCCATATTTAGTCCCACATCGACCGCGCAACTCCACTCCATCCGACCTAAGACTCGATCGATCGGGAGTGTCGCGCTTGCTTCCCACGCCGGCCGACGAACAGAAGGAAACCGGCAGTGATATATATATGGGCGCCGTAGCGTCGCGCGGGCAGGAGGACGCCGCGCGGGTGGCCGCGGGGCGGGAGCACATGAAGCGGTGCAGGGAGAGGCGGCGGCTGATGCGGGAGGCGGTGCGGCTGCGGCGCCACCTCGCGGCCTCGCACGCCGCGTACCTCCGGTCGCTCACCCACGCCGCGTCCGCGCTCTCCCGCTTCGCGGTCGGCGAGCCGCTCCCGGTGTCCGACCACGCCCCGCCCGCCGTGATCGTCCACCGCCCCGTCGTCGCGCCCTCCACGCCGCCGCCGCTCCTCCGCTCCATCGAGCAGCAGCAGCAGCTGCGGCGGCGCGCGCAGGAGTTGGAGGAGGAGGTCGGCGCTGCTGTTGATGATCATCTTGTTGGCGGCGGGGCCGGGGTGCCGTCGGTCACGCGAGAGGAAGGCGGCGGTGATGAGGAGCTGAGGATGGTGGTGAGGCACCGTAGCCTCGCGGAGGTCGCGGCGGGGTTGGAGGAGTACTTCCTCAAGGCCAGCGTCGCCGGCGACGCCGTGTCGAGCCACCTCGAGGCCAGCAACGACGAGTTCAAGCGTAAGCCACTAGCAACTCTACTTAATTCGCACATTCACATTTACTGTACATGTGGCCACTGCCTCACTGGCCAATACAAAGGTGTGACATTATGATCAGTTGATCACTTAAAAGTAAACACTGACAGAGAGCATGAGTTGCAGAGCAGAAAGTTTTCTTGCCACTGATCACCACCAAATGAATTGATTTTGTTGCAGGTGGACCGCACAGCATCTTGGGCGCGCTTTGCTGCCTGTCGGCGCCGTCGGTTGCGCACGACCGCGTCGACAGCATCAATGGCGAGCAGAGGCATAGCTCCAACTTGCAGCAGCTGCTGGCCTGGGAGAAGAAGCTGTATCGAGAGGTCAAGGTAATGACAAAATACCAAAAAACACATGGTCGAATCAAAACTACTAGCCGTCATACCGTACGTATTACCGTGCGTGTTGTAACTTGTATGGCCAGTAGAGTGATTTGACGTTGCAATGCAGGCGAGAGAGCGGCTGCAGGTCCAGCACGACAAGAAGAAGGCGGAGCTGAGTGACCAGGAGTACAGCAGGAAGATCGACGTGGACGTCCTGAAGCTCAAGGCCGCGTGGGAGAAGGCGCGCGCGCAGCTCACGACGGCCTCGCAGGCCGTGGCCGCGACCTCCGCGTCCATCGCGGAGCTCCGCGACACGCACCTGGCGCGCCAGCTGCTGGGGCTCTGCCACGCCACGCTCGACATGTGGAGGGCGATGCGGCAGCACCACGAGGCGCAGGGCCTGATCGCGCAGCAGCTGCGCGGGCTCAGCAGCCGGACGTCCATGGACCCCACGACGGAGATCCACTACGAGACCACGCGGGCGCTCGAGGTCGCCATGTCGTCATGGTGCGCCGCCCTGGGCCACCTGGCCAAGCACCAGCGCGACTACGTCCACGCGCTGCACGGCTGGCTCAAGCTGACGCTGCAGGAGGCGCCGGCCGTCGTCGACGGCGCCGAGGCGGTGGCCTCCCCCGTCGCCGCCGAGCTCGCCGCCTTCGTCGAGCGGTGGGGGCAGGCGCTCGACCGCGTGCACTGCGCCGACGTGCTCAAGTCGATCAAGAGCTTCGCCGGCGCCGTCCGGTCGCTGTACGGTCTCCAGAGCGACGAGCTGCGGGTAGCGCGGCGCGTCAGCCAGTACTCCCGCGAGCTCGACCGCAAGTCGCGGATGCTGCGGCAGGTGGAGAAGAGCTACTACGACTCGTACGTGCCGCCGATGGGCCTCTCGCTGTGGCACCGGGGGATGAGGCATTGGGGGGACGACGGCATGCACGCGCGCGACGCGAGCAACGAGGTGGCGCAGCGGAGGGACGAGATAGCGGCGTGCCGGAGGACGGTGGAGGACGAGATGCGGAAGCACGCCAAGGCCATCGACGCGACGAGGTCCGCGGCGGTGACCTGTGTGCAGGGGAAGCTGCCCGCCGTGTTCCAGTCGATGGCCGTGTTCTCGGCGTCGCTCGCGCACGCGCTGGAGGCCGTGTGCCGGCATGGCACCCATGTGCAGTAGTTAGCTACACATAGACACAGTTCATTCGTTTGAGTCGGCCATCTCCATTTCCTTTTTCCATTTTACTTATCTATACGACCATACAGTATACACTATACACCAAAGATATACTCCGTATACACGAAACCCTGCTAGGATGTAGGAATGTATAAAGACTAAATAAAAATCAAGGCCCTACTGAGTTTTTACTTTTGACCACTAGATAGGGCTTGGGACCTTTGGAGAGGGGGGGGGGGCATACGGGTTTTATTTTAGGGAAAATTGAAACCATGCCATTATAATTTGGATAAGCTTGACATTGTGATCCGTTCATCTTGCATCGATGTATAAAAACGACAAGGAAATCATGTATAAATCGCTCTAGTAACTAAGTACTCCATTCAAAACCAAAACAGGAAGATTTTAAATCTGTGATAACCTCTCGATTGACAAAACGTGAATACATCATCCAAACACATTGGTCTATGATCTAAAACCCCTGCAAAGAGCAAGCAAACTACTTTTATTCAACTGTAGTTCCTCATTTTTCCCCCTTCGGTAGTATGCCTATGGAAATGAAAAAGGTCTAACGCTCATTTATCTTACACAACTTTCGAAAGAGCCATGACGTTGAAGTTCATTGAGTCAGGGTTGGACGCAATTCTGGCTTTGATGACTTTTGCAGCATCCTGAGAAGAAATCAAAGCAAATTAAACTTCACTCATGGTTAAATATCAAAAGAAGAAGAAGAAGAAATTAGAAAATACACCCTAAATCCATGGATCATAAGCATTCCGAATGTAAAAATGCTAAAAGTTAAGTTCAGTGCATATACATTTTAGCTTGTGCCCCCCTAAGCAAATATAATGTATAAGTTCCATTTGACAAATAATTACGATTATTCATTTCACAAAAAAAACTGCTTGCACTAAAATAAGGGTAGAAATAGAATGTACAAGAATCATTTCAAAACAATAGGTGATAAACAAGCAAGATACAAGAAAAATGCAAAATTTGAGACCTGTAACAAAGTATCTGGTGATGAAGGGCCATGACATATTGGTTGCGATTTTCGTCCATCAAGCTCATAAAGTTCACCTGTTGCATGCCAAAAAATAAAATGTTGGGAACAGATTATTGATAGTTGAAACTAGGATTTGTTTTTTGAGTAAAGGCAGTCGGATACCCACCATCAACACAAGAGAAACATACAAAGTGCTCGTTCACCTCAACATTAGCCTGCAAAGGAAAGATGATTAGGATGGCAGCAACATTAAGGACTATATCATGGATATGGGCAATTAGTAACATTTCTTATCTTCTCCCTTTTCTTTTGGCTAAAGGAGGTTGGTCCACAAGTGCACTTATGTGGTACTGTGGTAGCATATTTGGTTATTCATTGTAATTGTGATTTAAAGCAATCCTGTTATAACTTATAAGAACATCCCTCGTAAGTTCAATTCTGCAATATGAGCTTGTAAACCGAGGGCAGGAAGACTCTAGTATAATGGCATCCTACCAGCAGCATTTACCATCTCAAGGAGTTATTCGAATTAAAACAGTAAGAAATTATGATGGCAAGAGATAAATTTATCTAATCTACTCAACATGATGTTGTTTAAAACTGTATTACAAAAGTGAACATATAGAAAAGGGGCATGCGAGTGGTTACATCAGTGTCGCCAGCCGAAGCAGCAACGGAATGAGCATCCTCCATCTCATCATCCTCCTCAAGAAAGGCAGCACGCTGAAGACAACAAGAACTGTTCATATTAGGATAACAAAAAAGTTTATTAGTGATTAACACAATGAATTTAACATACAGACATTACCTGGACTGGATCCATATCAACAGTTTGTTTATAAAATCTATCAAAATAGGATCCCTCAACTGCAAAGAAGAAAGCAGACATCAGATCTTGTTACAAATAAAAACAGTAAGAATAAGACTAAACAAATTAGGTCATACATCCATGTTTAAGCCAACAAATTAAAGGGCAGCCCAATAACCATAAATTGATTAAGCATGCCAAATTTCTCCTAGACATGCTGGTTGTCTAATATCAATGTCCTTGTACCATTTTTTCACATCATCGCATCAAAGATGTGTACATTTCAGTAAGAAAGCAAAATGGGGAACACTATGAAGTATCACAAATCAAGCAACTATATTTTGCTGAAGAAGGAGACTGAGAAGTGAGGACAGAATAGACATGGATACCTTTTCTTTTAGAACAACAGGCATGGATACTTGCTTTTTACTGTTCAAGCAAACTAACATAATTGGATGAATATGAATCCCTTGAGCAACCTTTTAAAATATCTATTGGATTATTTCTATCTGATAGTTTTTCCTTATTTACTACTATATAGAGAGCACTTTAGGACAGTTAATGACTCAATATTAACTAACCGGAGGTACTAGCTAAGCGTGGATACAAAGCTAAAGTAATTACCCAGCTTGAGTTTGGATGCAGCATTCCCTATTGCATGGATAACACCAACTGTTCCGCATGCGTTGCCAACAGTCTGCTTTGTAAAGTATACCCTCTTGCTCAAATCCTGCATATCAAGGTATTGGGTTAAGAAAATGAAGGGTATATAAAGTTCCAAGTAATAAATAATTTAAAATGTGCACATTTCAAACTGGTAAACTTCAAATTGGCATCGTGCATTGAGTGAAAGTAGATATCCAACATATCATATACGTCAACACTCAACCCATTTAATATGCCAGATGAAGGAAACAGAAACCAACACCCTAAAAAAGGGAAAGCAGGCTAGTATTTCTCAATTAGAATATGAATATGGAACAATATTAATGAACCAAAAACTGAATGCAGTACATACCATAAAAGTCTCCTAGTAAAATGAAAGCTGAACCATAGTTTCACAGTGAGTGCAATTTTTTATGCACTCCCTAAGAAAAATAATGGTCAGGACAAGGAACATGCACAACAATCAGGCCATCAGACAATCTATACAATCATCACAGTTTTACTATAAATTCTGCCACATCTTGTATATGTGACAAAATGCTTTTTCTGCAAATAAAACAGCATCTTAACCAGTTGTGGAACATCTAACTTGACTCATGACTATGGTGAAGTGACTCTACATCAGGTCATCTGCAGTAGTTGTAGAGTCATACTGTACAAATTAAGATGCAGTAGTTGTAGAATCACTTGCATGAGGATTGAACTTCCACATCAAGATATAACATGAGAATTGGAACTGCAGTACATCCATAGCAGCATGTCAATTGACAATTGATTTATAGTTCAAAAAGAAACATAAATTAGGCAATTGATCTAAAATTGATTGGGCACACAGATTTAAGTGATACAGTGTAGCATATCATGTTTACAAATTCCAAGTTACAAAGGATAGTTAAGTCCATTGACCATTTGCATGCATCCTCATTTTTTTTACATAGCACAGTAGTTGTATCTATAAGTACTGCAAGAGAATCAATACTACAGCAAATCCATTACAAAAATAGAAAGGAGGAGAGGACCATGTTTACTGCAGAGAGTAGCCACACACCCAGGTGTTCTGTATTGTTAGTAAAAGGCTAAAAGCACATTGATGCAACCTATAATGTAAAAGAAATTTCACAACCATGATAAAAGGTGAGGTATCTTGGTACTTCCTCCGTTTCACAATGTAAGTCATTCTAACATTTCCCATATTCATATTGATGTTAATGAATCTAGATAGATATATATGTCTAGATTCATTAACATCAATATGAATGTGGGAAATGCTAGAATGACTTACATTGTGAAACGGAGGGAGTATTCAAAAACAGCCATCTCTGGAGTTCACTTGATGGTACTGAGAGAAGAAGGCACTCTTGCATTTCATGATATAGTAATACTGAGGTTCAATGTCCTGGGTACCTCAGAACTAACACATCTAGTTCAGCAAATTCTACAATAGTAGATTCAACTAGCAAAATTTCCAGTACAGTAATAGTGCAATCCTGTGTGGATAGAGTGAAATATCACAAATCAAACAAGCATACAAATTCATACACAACATTCAGTAAAAGAGAACAACTACTTAAAACTTTACAAACAGAGGTCACCGAAACCAATATATCACTACACAACATTAATTTTACAGAGTAATAAAATGTATGCATAAAAAAGAAGGCCAAACACCAATCAAACTGTGAAAGACCTATCTGAATCCTGATCCCGTGCAGTAACTTTAACTGGAATAACAAATCCAATCCACAAAACAGTCTAACTCAATTGCTCAAACCGAGGACAATTCCGTAACAAATCCGATGCACAATTTGTAGTTCAGTGCATGTACACCACAATGTATCAAACCGAGGCAAGACTATCGAGCACATTGGATGCGCTATGCGGCAAAAACAAAACAGATGGGTACAGCCGTACCTTGTCCCCAGCCGTGGAAGTGGCAGCAGCGCCTGATTCCTCCTCGTCGTCGTCCTGATCACCCCACGAAGCAGCATTCATCACCCTCTCGACACCACGTAAATCCACAAAAACCTCGAAGCGGAAGCAGAACGCGAGGGTGGGAACTTACCAGGGAAGTGAGCGGGTAGAGGAAGAGGACGGCGAGCACGGGCTGGGGCACCATGGCGAGCAGCTCGTCGTCGAGGCCGTAGACGTCGCAGAACTGCGCCTCCCCCTCGGCGACTCCCAGCCCCCACATGAACTGCGCGACACGAGCGGAGGCGCCAACCCCGCGACGACCGGTGAGGCGGTGAGTGTGGAAGAGGAGGAGGAAGAAGAAGAAGAAGAGCGCGCGGGAAACCCTAGCGATGGACGCGAGGGCGGCGGAGGAGAGAGAGGCGCTCACCTGGTTCATGACGTCGGGGTTGGCCTCGAGAGGGATCCACCGCTTCCCCATCTTCTCGGCACGCGGCGAGGAGGAGGAAGAGGAAGAGGAAGAGGAAGAGCTTGGCGAGAGATAGGAGGAGGCGAGGCGGAGCGGCGTGGCGTGGCGGCGAATGGGGGAGGGGGTGGGGTAGTACTAGTAGAGTAGCGGCTTTTGGCCGATTTCTTTCGGCGCGATGAACCGGATGAGCGTGGTGGCGTACGCTGTACGCCTGCGGGTGTATGCGGCGCACGAGCTGGCGCCGGACGGCCGTGTCGGTATCTTTTGGGCAGGTCGTTGCTCAATGCTCAAGGGCATTCTGGAAACACTGGCACCAAAATACATACTCCATCCGTCCAAAAAGAAACTCAATTCAAAAAAGATGTGAGAAAAAAAAAATCAATTACACAGTTTACATTGCGAGATAAATCTTTTAGAGAGAATCACTTATATGCCACTAAAAATTGATTTGATTCCTTATATGCTATTGAAAATTGGTTCTTCCCTTATATGCCATTAATCTAAATTTGCACACCCTATCATGCTACTCCCGTCAGTTGGCCGTTAATTTTCAAGAAAAAAAGACGTATTTACCCTTTTGAGTATAGGGCATGCCTAACAACTCAGAGAGGGTAAATATGTCTTTTTTACTTGAGAGTTAACGGTCAACACATGGTCAATTGATGGTAGTGGCATGAGAGGGTGTACAAATTTGGACCAATGATATATAAGAGAATAGCCAATTTTCAGTGGCATATAAGGGATCAGACCAATTTCCAGTGGCATATAAGGGATTATCTCAATCTTTTAAGCATAATTACGCCATGATATTACAACGTGATGCTACAGTAAACATTTTCTAATGATTTGTTTTGTTATTAGTCTATATTTAATACTTCAAATGTGTGTCAGTATACTTCAAAGTTTTTACACCCAAATAACTAAGCACACCCATAGACAGAATAACTGATTAAAAAACATGAATTTATTTATATTATTGAAGTGAATTGTACTTCTTACCTACTTGTACTCACCCATCCCCTACGAGTGTGTTTGCATAATGGGAAATGGGGGTGGGATTGGGATTGGGAAATAAATGAAGGGTTAGGATTAAATGGAAGGGGGAGAATGAATAGTTAGAATTTAAAGATGGGTGGGAAATTATTTCCTTTTCCCATTTGCCAAACACTACCTATTCGGTTAAACAAGTGACCAAGAGTAGGAGATTGCTTAATAACACATACTTAAGCCAGAAAAACATAAGTATGAAATAATATAGCGGATGTTAAATCTTATAACCGAACCGAACCCGGGGTTTAAAAAAACGGAACCAATGTCTAGTCCGACGATATAATTAACTTGAGAACCAAAGGAAAAATGAGCTAATATAATTAACTTGAGAAAAATCATTTAAACCAAATGATTTTCTACTGAACCAAAGTAAAAATGAGCTGGCTTGATTAAATCCCCGATGTACAAGGTCTGTATTTTTTAAAACCCTACCTAATTCTTAAATATTTTCATACCAGAAATATATAAAAAGTGAGCACATGGCAAAAAAGTTGGGCCCGTTACTACCTTTACTGCATACATGCATGCGCGCCTGACTATTTGGGCTAGTCGCTACAATAGTTTTAGAAACGAAACAAATATATTTTTATGTGTTGATTAAATCAAAATTCTCAATAAAATACACTAGTACTCAACGTTACTTATTTTATTGAACCGGTCGGATTCACCGGTTGGAACACAGGTCGGGTTCAGAGTGGCAATCAGTAGGTCGTCCCAGGGCCAGCGCCGATCCCCATCCGTCCCGCGAGCAAGCAGAGGCGGCGCCGTCGCTCGTCCTGCTGCTTCCGCCGCATCCTCCGCCACCGCCGCCTGCGCCGATCCCCCAACCGTCCCGCGAGCGAGCGAGCGAGCGAGCAGGGGCGCCGTCGTTCGTCCTGCTTCTTCCGCCGCTTCCTGGTTAGCACATCCTCTTTCCCATCTCTCTCTACCCAAGCACTCTTTATATATATATATATATATCGAATTTGCGTTAACCCTAGCTTCTGTTCTAGAAATTTGCCTTAACCTTCACACTAATAACAGTTTGTTTGTTCCCAAAAAGTTTGGGGGTTCATCTGAATCCCCATGTCCCATGTTAGATCCGCCCATGTTGCCGCCTGCTGCGTGTTGGGAACCTGCTAGGTTAATTGTTCACTAACAGCTAGTAGTAGCATGAAAACACTCTCGTGCTTCCCTGTTGCTAAGCGATCTTCTTGACTCAATAAGAGAGAGTCATGTCTTGATTGCTAGGGCATGTCTGGTTGTTTGCTGATTCGGGCTATAGCTCGCCGAGGTAAACCGAAGCGAACCTTTCCTTGGAAAGCTATTTGGTTGGTTTGCTTTGCACACTAGCTTTTCACTCGGTTTTGCATAAAACTTGTGCGAGAGACGAGCTTGCCATCAAAGGCGAGCCAAATGGGCTCTCCTGCGCGAGCCAGTTTTTTCTTGCGCGATATGGCTTGATTTTTTTACTGCTACCAAATGCCTCTCCTCACTGGGCAAGGCTTAGATCCAAACGAGCACGTGCTGTCTTGTACCATATTGTTCAAGTAGCCATGCACTGAAGTCTGTTGGTACCCTGGTAGAGGTGACCAGACTGTGGAGAGGGGTCAATATTTAGAAATGAATTTATTTGGTGCTAAACTTACCCAAAAATAGATGCCCTTTTACAATACATTCAATCAAACCTTAAAAACCTTGTCCACCAATAATACCCAAAAATAGATTTGTTATGCGAAAACTGCATATGATTAAAAAACAATTGTTCCTTAAACTGCATTTGCACACCTGTGTGCTTTGAGTTGGTCTCTTGTTTTCTTTGCTTTTTAAAACTTGATGTCCATTTTACTTGCAGGTTGCTGTTCCTATGGACTTCACATATCATATCTTTTGAATATTGTGATCACCCCATTTTCTTGTTGAGGGTACATGAATAATCTCCATTTTTGCATTTCAGGTACTTTACCCCAGAATAGCAGTGATGTGTCAAAATCTATAGTTGGTCAGGTGCAAGCAGAAGAGCAGGAAGGAAATGGCCAGGCAAACCAACAAGCAGTGCAGCAACATATGATTTTAGCAGGCCAGTTGTCTCAGCCAAAATCGTTAACTGAAGGTTTGGAAAATAATGTCTACCCAATTAACGGAACACGATCACCAGCCAGAACAAGAACCACCACATTCTGAAAACCATCTGAAACAGGCAGAGCCAAACAGCTTCCAGTTCGCTGAAAAGGAAACAGGCTATGCTGGTCTACAGAATTTCACAGGCCCCAAGGTGGATGTGGGTCAGACTTCAGGAGAGCAGCAGCATGTAAAACAGATGGTCGGTCAGCAAGCACCACCTGGTGCACAGGACGCAAGGAAGCGGGGATACCAACCGTCTATACCATTTAATATGTTGATTCCAATCCTACAGGCTCATCTTGACAGAGACAAGGATATGCAGCTTCAAACTGTGTGGGCAAAACTTAGGGTGCGCTTTTGTCTCACTCCTCTGTTGTTAGCTGCTGTTTTTCATCAATTTGATTGGCTAGGGAAACTACACAGCCTTGTTGAGGCGAAGTGGGGAGCAAAGTTAACCTGCTTCGCACATCTATTAATTTGTTCAAAGTTATATATCCTCTATGTTGTTAATATCGTTGTTAGACTTCTAAAATTTGTTGCTAAAATTAGGACTTAGGGCGTGTTTGGTTTGTGGCCGAACCCAACCAAGCCAAAAGAAAGACATCTATTTGGTTTGTGGCCAAAAAATTGGCATTGCCAAATTATTTCGCTTAGTACACTACATAAATGCAACTTTGGTAGTAAACCAAACAAAAGCCTAGCCAATTATTGCCATTTTTAATCCATTTGAATAAAAGAGGCGCCTGGGATCTTTTTTTTTCTTTTTTTTTTTGGGGGGGGGGAGGGTGAGATAAATGAATGCTAGCAAAGATGCCTCATCATTTAAAATGGAGTTTGCACCATTTCCACTGAAATGAAACTAACTCAGCTGTACCATTCTATGTTTGTAGCGTAATGAAGTTCATAAAGATGATTTCTTGAGAGTTATCAGGAACATCGTTGGAGATCAAATGCTAAAGCAAGCAGCCCATAAAGTTTTTGCACAGGTGAACGGATTGTGTTAACTTCATTGCTGCCATTTGTTTCCCTGATAACTGTTTAATAAATATCAATCAAGTTTGATGAAAGTGAAGTCACTCTTAATTGTCATGTTGGACGAGAGATCACTGAGTAGGAAATATCTTTATTTAATTTGTTTTCAGATGCAAGCCCAGGCACAGAGAAGTGGCCAGGCAAATGCAAATCAGCAGGCTAATGCAAATCAGTATTCTTTACAATCCCAAGTATCTTCCAGCGGTTCAGCTCAATTACATGATCAGCAAGTTCACGTGTCCACCACACCTAATCAGGGCCAAAAAAACCAAGCATTGTCTTCATCCCAAACCTTTGTGCAATCTGGCACTCAGGTGCAGAGCAGTATGACTGCTCATGATAATTCCATCCAACGGCCAGATGCAAAGGGAATGCATGTTACGCCGAACCGACCTCCTGTTATGAACTCAGCAATTTCTGCACAAACAATGAACAAACAGCAGCAACCCACACAAGTCCAGCAAGCCTCACAGCAAATATATGGAACAACTAATCGCCCTGACCAGCCATACACTAGGCCAATCGGTGGTTCAACACCTCTTAGCTCACTGAGTTCAGAATCAGAAATAAGGCCTTCCTCTCATCCTGCAAAAATGGAGATTCTTCCTTCTCATCCAATGACACAACAAAATGCAGCTGCGCAGCAAATGCAACAGAACAAGGATGTGAAGACTAATGCTTCTAATCCAAGGAGTAATGCAAAGCAAGATTCGGGGACAGGTAAGGGTCGTGCAGTTGGCACTGGAGGTTCTTCAACGAAATCGCAAGGGAAGCAGGTAATTCAATTCCTGCATCATCTCACCTATCTGTCTTATGATATATTCAAATCAAATTTCCAGATTCATATGCAACCCAATTCCTCGATCCATCTAAATAGTCTGAATTACCAATAATTTTCATTTATGCAATTCCCCATGTTACAAAGGGATAGTTACATGCATAAAAAAATTCCTACAAGTTTATTTGCATTCCATCACAATTAGTTTTTGTTGGACTCAACACAATTAATTTTGATGAACGCCATAATAAACGGAAATGATCAATGTTAGTGAGATCTGATGCCATAATTCTTCAGGTAGAAGATTGATCAAACTTACCTAGGATAGCCTGCACTTGATTGTATCAATATCTTGGAGGAATGGAAATATGTAGTACCAGAACAGAGAACCTCCACTGTTTTGAAGTTTTAATTTTTGCTGTTACACTAAGTTGCATACAAATTCACTCAGTAATTGCCCTTTTTATTTGCTCATACGACCACTCTTATCATTTTGAGAATGTGGCCATCTGTAGTACATCCCGCTGTTACATGCAGGGTTATTTCATTGTTATCAAGGTGTTTACTAAGTAGTGGCCACTTGCCCCACCATCTGACACCTCACCTGGGTCCCTGTGTCTGGACAGGGCCTTAACACCTGACACAAAAAATAGGGGATGGGGGATTGGTTCATGGAGAGGGCTAAACATTAGTCACAACTTTTGGGATCTTTGTTTTTCTGCCATTTCTCTTTTCTCAATCTATTTCACTCCAGTTTCCTCTACTTTCTGCTGCATCCTGGTCAACCAGGTGATGGCTTGAGTGCTTTTTTTTTTGTGAAGGCCTTATTATCCTATGAAAATAATTTTGTGAAGGCCTTATTTCTGAGGAGTAACATGTGATTTAGTCAGAAAATGGCTGAAAGTGTATTTGGTTGATTTCCAGTTGTATGGCTATGCATGCATACTTCAATAGGTTCACAGCAACCATGAAACTATTATATGCCTTCTCACATGTAGCTGTACGTATAATTATCTGACTGGACTGTCAGGGCCCCCCTAACTTTTCCACACCTCCCGCTGCAAAGAGTAACAAGAAAACTGCTGGGCAGAAGAAGTCATTGGAAACATCAGGCTCTACACCACCCCCTCCTAGGTTTTTGTAGTTCATTTCACCCCATATGCTCTTTCATTAGCAGATTGTTCAGTACATTCAATTTTTGGATAATCCTAAGGTGATTTCCTTTTTGTCACTAGCAAAAAGCAGAAGACTTCTGGAACCTTCCAAGAACAAAGCTTCGATCAACTAAATGATGTCACGGCTGTTAGTGGTGTTAATCTTAGGGTACGCATCTCCCTCTATGATTCTCATTTGATGTTTGTTTTATTTTTGTATATCCTCTTTATATTCCATCACTGTTTTACTTTAACAGGAAGAAGAAGAACAGCTACTCTCTGCCCCAAAGGAAGAGAGCTGGGCCTCAGAAGAAGCAAGGAAAATTGCACAGGAAGAAGATGGCAAGCTTTTTCTGCAGAAAGGCCCACTTCTGAAGAAACTAGCAGCAATCGGTTAGGACCTTGGAATTTCATATTGACACTGTAAAACAATATTACATGGCAATATATACTATCGAAGCAATACTAACTGATGAAACATTTTTCACAGTTCCTAAATGCAATTTGAAGAGCATTGGTGGTGATGTTGAGCATTGTTTATCAATGGTGAGCTATTCATATGATTGTCCTTAAGAATTTTTTCAGAGTAATGCAGTATATCTAACATAAATGCCTTCAGTGCGTGGAGGAGCGATTGCGAAGATTTATCAGTACTCTCATAAGAGTTTCAAAGCAGGTTATTTTACACAACATTCAATTACTAAATTTATGGTATTGTTGTTATTTTGATGTACTAACCATGATTTTCTTATTGCTAGAGAATTGACACAGAAAAGTCTGGCCATCAACTAGTTATAACATCAGATGTTGGCCGGCAAATTTTGCGGATGAACCAGAAAGCTAAGGAAGAATGGGATAAAAAACAAGCAGAGGAAACAGACAAGAACAAGAAACAAAATGAGGTGTTCCATAATATCTATGTTATTTGCTTGTGTACAATTTTGCATGACATGCTTGTTCCGTTGAACTATCATGTTATTACTATGGCACATCATCTTCAGTTATTTATCACTACCTTTATGCTGTCCTAAGTCCTAAATTATTATTTGTTGTTCTTTTATCCATTTTTATACTGAAATATCTAAACACCTCTCTCTCTCTCTCTCTCTCTCTCACACACACACACATGCATGCCTACCCCGCACACATCCCACACTCTCCTGTACAACTTATCCCAAAGGAAAACTGAACGATTTAATTAATATATTTCTATTTTCAATTTTGACACGAAACAGTTTATAAGCAGCTTCACATGAAAAGGGACTGTAGCAGATTTCTTTGTCTTCTCACTGTTGAAGATCATACATTTTTTATGGTTACGAAAGGTCCATCAAGTTGCGATGTTGCAGTTAGTCATTCTAATTAACCATATCCTTACACACAGGTTGACGGCGGTGGCACTGTGGAATTAGACAAGGAAAAGGAGGAAACTCGTTCAAAGAATGCAAAGGTAACTTTACTAATGTGATATTTAGGTTTGGTGGCAGCCCTTGTTTTCCTAATATGCTTGACCTGTAGCCCAACAAAGAAGAAGATGACAAGATGAGAACAACAGCTGCAAATGTTGCCGCCCGACAGGCTGTTGGAGGAAGTGATATGCTGTCCAAATGGCAACTGATGGCTGAACAAGCTAGACAGAAACGCGAAGGCCTTGATCTGGCTGCTTCTTCACAGCGCGGGACAGCTTCCAGGTCGCATATGGCTGGGAAAGGTCCCACAGATCACCACGAAGCTTCGAAGAGGACCCATTCTGCAGCGTTTGGAACTGGTAAATCAGCAACCTTGCATTGATTTATTTTCCGCCCTTTCATATTATGCTAGAAAAAGCTGCAACTTCAGTATCCATGTCATATTGCTATTGCAGGAGGCATGAACAGGCAAGGCAGGGGTCCATTTGCAGCGTCTCATCCAAAAGGACCACAAAGAACTATTTCTATGAAGGATGTAATATGTGTCCTCGAGAGGGAACCTCAGATGACAAAATCGCGGCTGATATATCGGCTCTATGAGCGGTTGCCTGGAGATTCCACCAGAGATTAGGCTTGAATCGTCATTTATTTGGTGTATGTATGCACATTTGTGTAACAATATCGAGCTATAACTTATTGCTCTACTCCTTCCATTTTCTCTGGTTTGGAGTTGCGAGGTGTGGGTGGGTGTGTTGGGGGAGGGGGGGGGGGGACAAAACTAGTGTAACAAGTTAGCTGACATGGTACTCTTAGAATATGAACACATAAGATGTACTTCCAAACAAAATGGTCATGTAAAGATTATCACAGTGTAACAGATGGCAAGATTGCCCATTGCTGCCTGCTGGTGCATGCGCTTGCTCATTGTACTGTTATAATTCAGTGAGATAATTTGGAGAAATCCATTGTTCTGATTTATTTCTTTCCCTGGGTTCCAGAGTGTTGGATACATTGCGCACTAAAATCGCGCTAAATCTAACACTGGTTACATTGATCCAGGAAGGAACACTGCATGCAAAACTACAATGAGACACCACACCTAAAATGCACACACTAGTGAGACTGGGCATTCAGCAACTCATTCATAATCTAAAAGAATTCGAAGTCGAGGTATTTCCCGCCGGACCTGACCTCGGCGCCGACCACCCTCTTGCCGCCTCCGCCGCCGCTCGCCACCGGCTCGGCCACGCCGTACTTGGCCGGCAGCTCGGCCTCGACATGCCTGGGCACCTCGGGAGGCGTGCTGCACCGGATGAGCGCCCAGTTGACGCCCTCGAAGAAGGGGTGCTGCTTGATCTCGGCGGCGCCACGCTTCACGCCGAGCCGCTGCTGCGGCTCTTTCACCAGGAGGCCCCTGATGAGGTCCCTCCCGGCGTAGCTCGTCGACGGCGACTCCGGGAACCGCAGCTGCTGCCCGACCACGTTGAACAGCGTGGCGCGGTTGCCCGACCCCTTGAACGGCGTCTTGCCGTAGAGGAGCTCGTGGAGGAAGATGCCGAACGTCCACCAGTCCACGGCGCTGCCGTGGCCTTCCCCCTTGATGATCTCCGGCGCCAGGTACTCGTGCGTCCCCACGAAGGACATTGACCGCGCCGACGTCGGCTCGGCGACGAGCTCCGGCAGGGCGGCGCCACCGCCCTGCCCCAACTCGGACCTCGGCCTCCGGCCCTGCTTCTTGCTCCTCTGGCCGAACAGCTTGGGCATGAAGCACGCCGGCTGGATGCACACCGAAGAAGGCTCCATGCAAGCAGGCTGCACGCAGAACGAACCGCCGGCTCTCCTGGGATCGGAGTCGGACGCCGACGCTCTGATGAGCGTCGGCGACACCGCGCACCGCAGAGAGAGGTCGAAGTCGGAGAGCATGATGTGGCCGTCATCGCGCACCAGGACGTTCTCCGGCTTCAGGTCCCGGTAGACGACGCCCAGCATGTGCAGGTACTCCAGAGCTAGGAGCACCTCAGCGGCGTAAAACCTGATCAGTTTTGCACATTCCAATTCCTATCAGTACTTCAACTAGCAGACAGTACTATGGGATGGTTAAAGAAGATGACAAGAATCAGAGTATATGCTAAGCATTATTACTAGCAGTTATTGCAAGTTTGCAACACAAGAAGTTACCAAGCAGAAGAACACAGCTGTGCATTCTAAATTGTCATGCCATCGGATGCCAAAACTATACTGCATGTACTATTGCATACTATGTCCCAATCAATGCAGATTGATGTGTAAACATCAGGGACCCTGTGTTCATAAATACTGTAGTACTGTACTCCATGGCTGTTAGTCTGGAGAGAATATTTCAGCAGGCCAATTTCTCAAATATCCATCACTAAAAAAACAATTAATAGTTCAAGAAAATTAATGTATCATGGGTACAACTGTTGTTAAGATGGCATTGAATTTGAATACCAACATTAAAGGAGTGCTAACTAACATGTCAAGATAAATGGCATAGAATCATAGGCAAATTTGCTCAAGAAATTCACCTTGCTGCATATTCAGAGAAATGCTTTCGTGGCTGCCGTTGCCGCAGAGTGTGCAGATCACCACCCGGACAGAATTCCATGACCAGACATGAGAACCTGTCAGTCTCAAAGTGTGTGTACAGAGTTGGAAGGAATGGGTGATCCAAAAGCTGCAGAATTTCCCTTTCAGTTTGAGCTCTGTTCAACTTCTTTCGGCTTGCTAAGGACGCCTTGTCCATTACTTTCATCGCAAAGTAGCACCTTGTCCCACTCAACTCTGAGAGGTAGACGCTGCCAATGTCACCACAGCCAAGACGCTTGAGCAATCTAAAATGGCTCATCCCAAGGACATTGCCCCGACCCCGGACAGCTAGAATAGCCCTCCATCTAGGATCATTGCCCTTGTGAGGCTTGTTAGCACTTCCTGTGATGTTACTCCAGTTGCTGTCATCGCTAACGCCACTACTATCACTCGCTCGACTCATGCTGGTCTTTGTGCTTTCCATTGAGTTGCCTCGGGTGCTATCCTTTGCGCTCTCACATGTCTTCTCCACGGTAAGGATGGATTCACTAGTTAGAACTCCACTTCTACATGTGCTTGTGGATCTTCCCCTGATGCTTGTGGCAGCGACCGCACCAGTGCTGTCACTGCTACTGTGTGGGCTGACATTGCCACTGGGAGGGAAGGAGGCATCCCAGACGCAATCCTTCTCCTCCGAGGCCTGAGTTGAGGATACGGCTTCAACAGCATCTGGTGCTACCACAGCACAGTGCACCTTCCTCTCTTCAACCAAACCATTGACATTAACTGTGCAAACAATCACATCCGGCTTTGCATCCATGGCATGGACTGAGAGGTCCTCCATAGATGCTCCTTTGACCGATAGGCCTCGCATCAAGCACTCGGGTGGCTCAGGCTTCTCCTCGTCGATCGCGACATACACCGTGCTCATAAGATCCACATCAATTGGCTCCGGAGGGTGGCTCACCCCGGAGAATGAACTCCGGCCACCCTCGTCAGATGACTCCTCGCTCCGAAAACTCTCCTCACCTTCTGCCAACAGATCCTTCTCATACTGCTCTTGTGAGCTTCCCCCTTCCCTTGATGGATTCAGCACAACTGATTTGAGCAACTCTACATTATTTGGCAGCTGAGCAGTGGCCACCAAAGGGCCCTTTGGCTCCACAATCTTATCAGCTACCTCCATCATCCAACTTTAGCATCACCAGCGCTCAACCACTGAGGTGATTACTCTCCCAAAATAATGAAATTGAAGCAGTTTTGAGCATTAAAAGATTCTTAGAAATAAGCAAAGCTCCAGGAAGTAGGGACCGCAGGCAACCAACCAAATTACAATTTCAAGAACCTGAAGCAACCTGCAACTTGTCTGTAATTGAAAGGATTCCAGCCACCAAGAAATCAAGAATCCACAGCCTGCTCCTCCAATTATTGGTGCCCAAAGAGGGCAAATGTAGGAGCCGGGAGCACTCTCAGTTCTGCAGAGAAATGCACAATAATCAGCTTAACACGCCAAATTGGACATGGATTTGTGAATGGAACTCTAATCCACTGGAACTAGACCAAAAGTTTATCGAATCCTAAAATCCTAAAAGCAAAACTAAGCACATTTAATATCTTCGCGCACATAACCGAACAGCAAATATTTCTACTTTCCCAAGAAACCTGAACGAGCCTGACCAAGAGGGGGAAAAGAAAACTCACCTTGGATAACTCAAGATGGAGATCCCGGAGCGGCTTGAGCTCAGTTCAGTCTCTCTGTCTCCCAGCCATTCTCCAGTCAAGCCTCGCCCCTCCCCCCTGATATACTGCTACTTCCCGAGCGACCTCACCTCCCACTCGCACCACGTACTTCCGCACCGCGTGATTCGAGGAGATCGAAGTGGGAAGAAGGGAAAGCAAACGCGAGTCGTGGAACGGTGGAGCCGACGAACTGAGAAGTGGGGGAGTGGGGAGGAGGTGTGGGGGGCAAAACAACAAAATTTAAAGGAAATGAAAATTTACTACTCCAGCGAGGAACAAAATGGAAAAAGGCTACTGCAGTATCACGAGAGAGTGAGAGAAACAGTGATAATAACTTGAGGTCTTTTTCAACGTGGGAGTTTTCTCTCTCTCTTTTTTCTTCCATAGGAATTGGTTTTTGTTTGATACGGGACACATTTTTATCACGTGCTATCTGCCTATCTTTCGCTATCCCTCTTCATCAAAAAAAAATGGCAAACCCCACCGTCCGTCTTATTTAAAAAAATTATGAAAAAATTAAAAAGACAAGCCATGCATAAAGTATTAATCATGTTTTATCATTTAGCAACAATGAAAGTACTAATTATAAAAAATTTCATATAAGGCGGACGGTCAAACGTTAGACACGGAAACCCAGGGTTTGCCTTTTTTTTAGGACGGAGGGAGTAGATTATACTCTCTCATTTTTTAATAGATGACGCCGTTGACTTTTTTTCGCATGTTTGACCATTCGTCTTATTCAAAATTTTTATACAAATGTATAAGATATAAATCACACTTAAAGTACTATGAATGATAAAACAACTCATAACAAAATAAATTATAATTACGTAAATTTTTTGTTATGAGTTGTTTTATCATTCATAGTACTTTAAGTGTGATTTATATCTTATACATTTGTATAAAAATTTTGAATAAGACGAATGGTCAAACATGTGAGAAAAAGTCAATGGCGTCATCTATTAAAAGGTAGTATTATGATTATTAGTAAAGGAGAAAAGGATATTACAACGTTTATTATAGAGACTATTCCAAATTATTAATCCCTCTATCCCATAGAAGAATTAGCCTTTAGTACTAATCTTAGTATCACGAATATAGACATATCTCTGTACAGATTAATTGTATTATAATATATTACATTAATCCTATAACATTTTTTTGGGATTAATCCTATATTTATTTATTTTTAGGACGGGAGAACATTAAGTCATTAATCTTTTTTTTACACCCATTATTAAGAATGCGTACTAGGACTATTACTACTGCGAGGTGAACTGATAACTGCATGCTTCCTACTACTACCGGCCAAGGACGCTGGGCCTACATGCCTGGCTCTCCAGGGCCAAGGGAGCCCCACATGTCACCATCCTTTCACGGCAGCGGAAGCAAACCCATTAAACGCTGATGCTTTGTGGCTCCAAATCGCTTTCTCGCTGTGAGTAGTTTGCCTATCTACATGTACTTGTGCAGTTATGCGAGTGTACTAAGTACTAACAAATCTGTTGTCTGAGCGTACATGTGTTTATACGAGCGTCCGTATCTACACCGTGTTTCAAAAAAAAAAAGTTATCTCCGTGTAATACCAATGGATGTGTTGATGTGGCATTTTTTCCTGCGTTCTACTGATGATGTGTCACGTTACAAAAGGCAGTGTGTACTAGTACTAGATAGCCCTGAAACTAAACACCATTACATAGTGCTTGGAACTGATTGAGCTGAATGGCATGCAGTGCCAGATGCCATATGCCATGCATGCAGATTACTACTGCATAATCCTCCTGTCCACCGGTCTCAGCCTCTCAGGTCTTCACCACGCACAGCTGAAAGCCTCAGTGTTGCAGCAGCAACCAGGGCTTCCGGTTTGCAGCTTTCAAATCTTTCGGTAAAACCACCGGAGGATTTCTGCACGCATCCTTTCTGAGTTCTGACCATCTGATAGTTTGATCCTAGCTCATGGCTCTATGGAAAGCATCACGCAATCTGTCAAGGAACAGAGAAATGATCGAGGGAGGAGGAGGATCACAAGGTAGAAATGATGATGATTAACTCTGCTGCTGAAGATCCTAATACTAGTATTACTAACTACTATCAGCTGGACCCCCATTATATCAGACCAAAACTGTTAACCATCGGGATTACCCCTGCAGAAGCAATAATCAATCAATGGCCCCATGCAGCAGCAGCAGGGCCACTCACTCTCGCTCTCTTGTGCCTGACAGGTTCTTGACATGAAGAACATGGCGTGTGTTTCTGGCTGCTGCTCCCTGGCCATGCCATGATCTATAGCCATTGGAATCGGGGAAAGTTGCAGCAGCTGAGAGACCCAAGAGCTTCTGGTCTTCGTGAGGCGTCCGTCCGTCCATCGCGCTCATCAGTGGCATGAGTGGAACGGAATGATGCCTGGTTGCTTCGGCCAGATCAAAGCATGTGAGAATCTGAAGGTGACTCGTCTCTCTGCTTTGCTTTACCAGCCACCGCCATGAGAGAGAGAGAGAGGGAGAGAGAAGAGCTCTAGACTTGCATGCTTGGTGTGTTTTGCCTTCCAAAGCTCATCAGTCATCATGGCCGACTTGCATGGCAGACAGGCCTGGCAGTCTCTCGAACAGCACATTCATATTCTTTTATCATTTTTGCTTTGCCTGTTTTTAGCCGGGATATTTTACCTTTGCTCTTTTTGTTTTTTCCCTGTAATTTGGGGCATGTAGTTAAACAATTATACTCCTTGACCAATTAACTAACTTGACGCCAGCTTAGAGCTCTCCCTGATACTTCCCTTTTTAATCTGTTTCACATGTTTGTTCATTGTCTGATTTGTATCTGAAAGTGTCATTGTACAGTGTTTGTTCAGTGACCGAGGAGATCAAGAGCGTACCTGTTACAATTTGTCCACTGCGGACACTTAGTCCCTGAATCTTTACGAGAGGGAAAAAAATGACTATTTGACACCATCAGATATAATGTTGGGAGATTTGGTATTGCTAATTATTCACTTGATTTTACCCACACCTCTCATATTCTACCATTTTCTTCCCTTTTTGCCTGAAATTCAATCTGAAAAGCCTCTGATATGCACTCTTCTTTTTTCACTTTGTTTCTTTGCTTTACCAAGACCAGTATTCTTTAGCACAAACCGGCAGAGTGAGCAGCAAGCTCTCTCCTCACGCTATGCTTTTATCATCCCCATGTCCTCCCCAAACATCAAATATTCAATATCTACATCGATTCAGTATTTGTGTATGTCCTTCTCCAAGCATCAGTTTTTAATTTGTGCATTGTAATGTTAGGGCTTGTTTGGCATGCATGGAGGAAAGAAATGGACTTTTGAAAAAGGTGCAAGACACTACTCCAATCTGTGTAAGCAGGCCTGAGTTCTAGACAAGCAAAAGGTGATGCCGGCCAATGGATTGTACAATACTACTAATAAGCCGGAAGGAGGCTAACAGGTAGGCTCCTTTGTGTTACCCATTAGTCGTCAAAAAGTGTTCTTTGTGCTGCCCTTTTGTAGCCAGCAAGACAAGGGTACAATGACATGACAAAACTGCAACATCTTTACAAGCCACTAATGCTTTTCAAGGATAAATAAGGCGGTCTAAAAGTAGATTTGCTGCAGTTTTCATATTGCAGTGCAGAGAACATGTGTAACCTTATTAACTTGATAAAATGTAGCATGAATTGGCAGATGTATCTTGTTCTTCTTACATGTATGGAGAAAGATATGAACACAGTAGAAAGTCTAAAAATAACCTGCTCAACCCTTCTGGATGTGAGAAGCTCAATTGAAAGCAACTTGCAATTTTAACACCATTTACAACCTTATTTCCCTGTGTATACAGGTTTCCTTTTCTCAGCAAATGCAGCTAGACCTTCAAGACGATCTTGAGTGTGCAGAACTTGCTCGTAGCATTCTTCTTCGACAGCCAATCCGGCGGACAGATCTACCTCCATGCCTTGATTGATGGCCTTCTTAGCCATTCTTATCGCTAACGGACCCTGAAAGAACAAATGGTGCTTAGATCGTCTACAAGAACGGACAGAACAGTGATCTTGTTGAATTTGATTCAGAAAGTTCATTATCATTTGTAGAAGCTGCTCTATCAGAGATCATGAACATCTCAAACAGATCAAATATAACATGTTACTCATTCAGAAGCCTCTTACTTTCTGATTTATCTCCTGGGCAAGTTCAAGAGCCCTTTTATAAGCCTCCCCAGCGGGAACACAGTAGTTTACTACTCCTGCAATGAAAACATACATGTCGTAGTGGTTCTTCTAAGAAGTCATATAAGCTTTTACTAAGAAATCACACCTGTAGAAATAAAATGTAACAAGACTCCTCTCAAAAAAGAAGGCGCCAGGCCAACCTTACCCATGGTTACAGCTTCTACTGCATCGAATCTACGACCAGTGAATATTAATTCCTTTGCTCTGGACTTTCCAACAATCCTAGGAAGACGCTGCGTTCCCCCAGCTCTATAGATTGTTACAAAGTGATGTTAACAGCAGAAGCACACCATTTTGCTTGAGACATTTCAACAAAAATCAAACTAGTTCCACTATGATATGCTATTCAAGTACAATAGAACAGCATAACAAACTTTTCGATAGGATGCAATTTCCCACTTTGATATGATACACGGGGTTGCTGCACTAGAGCAAGAGAACTGTGAAAAAAAAGGGAACAGGTTTGGCATATACTGGTGGGTAAATGACTAGATTTTTTTTGACGCAAGGTAAATGACTAGATTTACAAGCCAAACAATACTCCCATGTTATTTAATAAAGTGCCAGCTACATTTATAAAAATTACTTACAAAAGTAAAGCGCCATCTTGAACACATACCCAGGAATAATAGCAAGGCCAGTTTCTGGCAAGCTAAATGTTGCATTTTCCCCTGAAAACACAAGCATTGAAATGTTTGAGTTTTGGAAGGAAGGAACAAAACTCTTTGATAAGATGGATGGAATATGATCAATTGATCACTGCAGGTTGAAAGAGTACCACATATACGGAGATCACAAGAAAGAGCCAATTCTAACCCACCGCCAAAAGCAGCTCCCTCAACAATGGCAATTGTAGGAATTGACAATGCCTAGTTGTGCAAGATGCATTTTGTAAGTATTCTCAACATACTCTAAAAATAAAACTTGCATCAAGGCTTTAGAAAAAAAATAGCTAGAATGCGAAAGATGAGCGTGCATAACTACTTATAATTTGAACCGCGAGTACCATATATTGCTTCACTAAAATCTACTAAGATACAATGGATGTTAGCAAAATATATTTGAATCATGCACCCAGAAGCAAACCTCAAAGGACAGGAATGTAGATCTTAGGGAATTGACAAATTCGCGAACTTCGCAAGGGCTCATTAACCTCCTTTCCTGTCAACAATTTATGTACAACGGTTATGATTTTGTTTATGATCAGCAAAGGACAAAGGGACATAAGTACTTACAAAGCATTCACCATTTTTTTCCTATACTATAGCTACAATGCTTTTAGTTCCATAACTGACACAAAAGTTATCTACGCCGTGGTGGATAGCACTTATTTCAAATGCTCAATAATTCAAACAAACTTCTTCAATCAATACCATCTGCACAAGGACACTTTGATTAGTTGGTGTGTACACTTGTACTTACTGACCATAGCTAGCCAGTAACCAGCATTTCAACCATCCATCTAGTAAGTCTTAACGTATATGAGGAATTGAGGACATATATACATATCCCTCTTAATAAGTCGGACCCTGCTACTGCTATTAACCCTTCCAAACTTGTTGATAAAAAGATTGAAACAACGGTGCCAATCCATTTGTTTCTCTCCATCCGATATTTTTTGAGGGACTAGCTTCTCAATGCTGTCACAACTCATTTAAGCCTTGATTGATGTTTGAAGCTCCTGATCATGTTGAGTAATGAGTACGTCAATCATCAGTTTTCCAGATCGATTCAACTACTCCCTTAAAATTAGAACACTCAATTAAAACATCACATTAACTCAAAATTGAAACATACCAACCTTGCCAAAAAAAAAAAAAACAGTGAACCAATCCTTATCTACTTTCAGACTCTTCTAACAACTGCTTAGCTAGAGTATGCCACAAACATATAATCCTTAATCCTTATCCTACTGTGAGCAGAAAACCTATCGAGATTTAGCAGAGGAACTGATAGAGCGTTCACCTTGAGATCAGCGCCAGCGCAGAAAACCTTCGGGACGGAGCTCGCCAGCAGCACGACTTTCGCCGTCGCGTCAGCCTTCACCTTCTCGATCGCGCTCCGCAACCCCTGGAGCATCTCCCTCCCGATGGCGTTCCTGGCCTCCGGCCGCTCCAGCCTCATCTCCACGATCCCTGAGTCCAATCATCGCAGCTGTAATAAACCACAAACCCCAAAAGAGGAAGGCAAAAAAAAAAAAAATGACAGGAGAAGCGAGCAAGGGACGGACCGGAGTCGGGCGCCGAGAGCTTCTGGAGGCGGACGGGCTCCTGCTGGGCGAGGATTTGGAGGGCGCGGGAGAAGAGTGCCAGGTGGGCGTTGTTCGCCGGCGCGCGGCGGCCGGCGAGGTGGCCGGAGACGGCGAGGATTCCCCGGAGGATGCGCATGCTGGAGCAGCAGCGGTTGGGTCAGGATGGGAGGACCGGAGGAGTCGTGTGGGACTGTGAGTGTGGAAACGAGCCGAGCGTAAAAGGCTCGCTAGAAGGGCGGCTCAGCTCGGTTGGAGAAACGAGGTAAAACAGCAGCTCGGCTCGGCTCATTGACGGGCTCGAGCCAGCTTGAGGCTGAGCCGGTGACTAAGATGTGGCAGGCTGGCAGCGAATTTTTTTCATTTTTTAATTTTTTTCTTTTAATATTTAAAGAAATAATCTATCGACGCAAAAAAATTACAAAAATAAACCCTGCCGCCCTCCAAGTTGACGTGGCAGATGTCGGCTCGACGGCGCCATCTGCTGCCATCTGCGAAAATTGCATTTAGCCCCTTGCCGCCCAAGGCTAAATGCAATTTTCGCAGCCCTAAAGAGCATTTGGCTGGTACTTTTTGCATCTAGGTACCAGCCAAAAAGTATTAGGCCCGGGTTGGCTTTTTTTTTTGCATGGGAGCCCCTTGCCGCCATAACATAGGGCGGCAAGGGTTTTCGTGCAAAAAAAAAAACCTCCCTCTCCCGTCTCTCCCGTCTGCCGTCACCACCCGTCCCTCCCCCATTTGCCACGTCAGCTTGCCGCCTTAGTAGAGGGCGGCAGGGTCTATTTTTGTAATTTTTTGCGCCGATGGATTATTTCTGTAAATATTAAAAGAAAAAATTTAAAAATGAAAAAAATTCGGCTGGCAGCGCCCTGCCGGCAAGGGTGAGGCCCAGGAAGCCTCGGGTGGGCCTACAGGCCAGCCCAGGAAGGTTGGTCCGCTGAGCCCAACAAGCCACGAGAATTACAAGAGTTGGGCTTCTTGTCTCGAACCTACCTAGGCAAGTGCAGGAGAATTCATCGACACAAACTTCTTTATTTACTCTCGACTAAAGTCACCGGGAACGGGCAAGCGAAGATGATCACCACGACACCAAATGGCAGTATACTGTATACACAGATAAACTACTTTCCTGAGTATACAGGTTTCCTCCTCTCGGCGAATGCGGCTAGGCCCTCAAGGCGATCCTCCGTGTGCAGCAGCTGCTCGTAGCACTCCCCTTCGACGGCCAACGCGGACGGCATGTCTGCTGCCTGCATCCCTTGATCAATGGCCTTCTTGGCCATTCTTATCCCCAGAGGCCCCTGGAAGAAAATAACAGGATTCAGAAAAAAGCTACAGATTGGAAAAAGACCTCGTATTGTCACAGCACACTGTATGTGTTTGGTCAAGATCTTCATATGGCCAAAATTGTGGCTTCTGTTTTATTTGAACAGTCCTGTGTTCAAAGCCGACGATATGGTTCTTACTTTCTGGGCTATCTCGCGGGCAAGTTCAAGGGCTTTTTCATGAGCCTCCCCTGCTGGAACGCAGTAGTTTGCGAGTCCTGCGTTTCAAACATCCAATTAAACCTCATTTGAAGAAATGCAAGTGAAGATAATAGAAGGAAAGCGTAAGGGAACTCTTACCCATCATTACAGCTTCAGTTGCATTACATCTACGGCCGGTGAATATCATCTCCTTCGCTCTGGACCTTCCAACAATCCTAGGAAGACGCTGTGTGCCCCCAGCTCTACGTAGTACAGTAAAAGATGAAGATTATCTGCTCAAGCTGAATATTTTCATTGAAGAAACACATTTTGGACTGTAATTTATTTATTTATTTATTTTTGTCAACGTAAAGAATCGTTTATATGTTGACTAAAAGAGGTATTGGAAATAATGATGAGTGGGTCATCCTGAATCTGGAGCTAGCAATAGCACTCACAAGTGCACAATGATCGACTCTCTACAATTTTAGTGCTAACCTAAAAGAACATTAGTACATTACCCACTGATTTTTTTTATTATATTTCTCCTAGTGGATCAGATTATCTTTTCATTGCCAAGCATAAGCAAATACTACCATTAAGACAGAAATTCTTGTCAGTAATATTTAATATGAACATTAGCTCCACTAATTAATTTTCTTTTTGAGCAAAATGAAATCTTTTCTGGGTGTTGGACTTTGATGTAAACAGATTGCATTAAGATGGGAAATTCTAAAGTATGAAGACCTGCCTTATTCTGGTAGGTAAGTGCATATTCCATTTAGTTTCGGATCATCTTGACAATTTCACGAGAAACCTATGTACAAAAGTATGGAGTACTAGATGCATACCCAGGAATGATAGCAAGTCCTGTCTCTGGCAGTCCAAGAGTTGCATTTTCTCCTGGAGGGGTGAACACATTATTTCAAAAATTTGAAAGAAAGGAACAATGATTATGTCCATAAGATGGGAAATATTGAATTGCTCATATACTAAGACAAAAGGAAGCACCACATATACGCAGGTCGCATGAAAGTGCCAGTTCTAGCCCACCACCCAAAGCAGCTCCTTCAATGACAGCAATTGTTGGAATAGATAGTGCCTGAAAAAACAAGATGTGGTTTTTATATACACATAAAGAAAAATGCGCCATGTATAGGATCTGAAATTAATGGGCATAGTTTCTCATAAAAACACTGGTCCACTCGAGGGTGGATGCCAACAAAAAAAAAGGTAAATTCTGAATAAATACAGACCTCAAAGGATGAGAATGTAGATCTCAAGGAATTTGCATATTCTCTAACTCCAGAAGAGCTCATTAGTTTCCGTTCCTGTCATGAACTGTTGCTCTGTTATCTTAGCCATGTGGATTGTAAATTTGTAAGCAACAAAAAACAACATGTAGGAACAGTATAACATGTTTTTGTTAACATCATCTCATGATTTTAATATAGTCCATGAGATGGTTTTGGTTCTTTAACTAGTCTAGAGGTCAATATTTGGTTTAATGGCAACTACAAGTACGAGAAGTCAAATAAATTGGTTGAGAAATCAATATCATCTGGACTGTGCAAGATGACTTATATTAACTTCTAGTACCAAGTTTTAAAGCTTAAAATGATCTGTCTGGTTAAGCAGCTATTCCTCTCTAGAACACAGCCCCAACTAGTAATTGACCCCAATTTTTAATCCTTTGTTTAAAGCATGACATCCTCCTTTTCTCTTATAGTATGTTCTTTGAGATAGTGACTCCTCCATATGCTGTCCCAGGATCGCAATCATGATATTTCATTTTCTCCATGAATCATTTTCTTCGTGACACGCCATCACAGTATTTCTTTCTATGAATTTCGTTTTCAGCACTACACCAAGCTCATGGATCCATATTTCTTACTCCTGCAGTTTTTCCACAGCTACTGAGCTACTCCAATGTCTTTGATCGTTCAGAATTCGCAGTTGCATCTCAACTGTTCTCACAGCCATTCTACTCAAATGCGAAACGCTCTAATCGATCTGTATTAAAATATGAAGTATGAAAACACATGCTTGCATTTCCAAGTAGTAGAATAGACAGAGACCTTGAGATCGGCGCCTGCGCAGAAAACTCCAGGCACGGAGCTCGTGACCAGGACGACCTTCACGGTGTCGTCAGCCTCAACCTTCTCGACCACACCCCGCAGCAGCCTCATGGCTTCCCAGTTGATGGCGTTCTTGACCTCCGGACGCTCCAGCCTCAGCTCTACGATTTCTGTTTCCACCCACAAATTTAGGAACCGCAACAAGGGAGAATTTTTAGAGCAACTCTTTCAGAAAAAAAAAAGGATTCTTCAGAAAATTTAGGCAAAGGCTAAAAGCCATGCTGATCCCCGGGTTAACAGAATCATCAGAAGATTAGTAGTAGACAAGACATGAGAGGACAATCTTTAACAGTCCTTAATAGACCCTGTCTTTTGCACATCGACATTGTTGCTATCACTGGGTAGCATCACACACCCCATCAGAGATAATTGAAGGGACCTCTGCAGTACTACTAAAGACATATTGTGAATTGAGTGGCTACTGGCTACTGCTGGAAGGGATCAAGAAGTGGATGGCTTTGCAGCAAAGTACAGCGTCTCCCAAGCCCCTGACCTACCTCCTTGTACCGCTCCACTGTTCCAGGGCCTCGCCGACGCCACGCCGAGTCGCCGATTCCGCCCGGCCGGGAACCGAGGAGATACAAAGCGAAGCGGGGGATCGGCACCCACGCCGCGTCAGGAGATGGCGGCGCTGACCTGAGAGCACGAGAGGGAGCTGCCGCGCGGGAGGAGGCCGTGCCTGGCGGCGGCCGGAGAGGAGAGGGGTGCCGTGCCGACCGCCGGCGACCCGACCCATCGAGTGCTCCGATGGTAACATATTTTGCGGAACAGCCCCTCCTTCCGATCGATATTAATGGCAGCGATCCAAATTTCTGCAGAATACCCCCTATAGGTTTTGCAAAATACCCCCTCTCCCTGTTTCGATGTTTTGTGAGTTGTGACCGGAATTACGGCGATAGATTTTGGAGGAGAAGAGGGCGAATTTACAGCAACCCTAAAAAAAAAAAGGGTGAAGATTCACGAACCGCAGTCGGGTGCCGAGAGCTTGTGGAGACTGACGGGATCCGGCGGCGCCAAGATCTGGATGGCGCGCGCGAAGAGCCCATGGTGGGTGCGGGTCGCCGGAGCGCAGCGGCCGGAGGCGGCGAGGAGGCGCCGCATTGTGGAAGTGGACGGATGGGAAGAAGTGAAGAACACGGCGATGCGCGCTGCTCATGCGGATGCGGGTGAGTTTGTTGGCTGCAGCTGGAGATGCATCCAACGGTACACGTAAGACACGACACATCACACATGAACAGTCACCAAGTGCTTAAGCTTGGAACTGCACGAGCATTCAACATTTTTCTCCTGTTGATGTTTCTGAAAGACGTTGATAGTGGAAGACGAGGCTACTTGCCGGGCAAAGCTTTGACCGTTTCTAGTTTTACTACCTTGTCTTGGTAAAAAACAAAGAAGGGAAGCAGTCAATAATTTTCAGTGACAAGAGATTGTACTTCTCTTTGAGTAAAAAACAAAGAAGGGCTTAGCAGTCAATGGAGTAGTTTTCAGTGATAAAGATATAACAAGCTTTCACTTGCATAATGTTTTTCCTTTTTTTTGCAAGTATAATAGTTTTTATGTACTGTACATACATACGTCAAATGACAAGGGAAAATCTTTTTTCCCGCTGACACCCCTGACTAACGAAAGAATTGTTGGTCTGCTTCTACAAAAATTTACATAATTAAGGGCTCTTGGAAGAAGACGTCAATCTCGTCGTCTCACGAGGAGGGGCTCGCGACGGCGCAGTTCCCGTACGCCATGCTCCGGCCGACGTCCACCGGCGCCGAGGGGTCGACGCCGAGCTCCCGGGCGCGGTTCACGTACTCCTTCTTCACGTTCCCCCTCTGCAACTGCAGCAGCCGGATCACGCTGCGGCGCGCGTCGTGCCGGAACGGGCGGCCCGTCCCCGTGAACCCGTCGATGAGGTGCAGGTACGCCTCCAGGTCGTGGCGGCACGCCGGGCCGGCGTCGGGGCGGAGGCACGGCGAGTTCTTGCTGTCGATGCGCAGCTCCGCGCCGACGTGCTGGTACTGCTCCTTGGTGAGCGGCAGGCGCGGCGCCACGCCGGGCACCTTGGTGACCATGTCGCCGGCGTTGACGATGCGCAGGACGTTCACCCTGCCGTTCTTCTGGAGCTTGTCCACGAACGCGGCGTTCCCGACCTTGGGCCCGCCGAAGGAGACCACGGCGACGGGCGGCGCGTCGGGGACGGTGGTGGCGATCTCGTCGGCCACGAGGAGCGCCAGGGCGCCGCCGAGGCTGTGGCCGACGACCGTGATGCTGAGCTCCTCGCCCTTGTACTTCTCCATGAGCCGCCGCACCTCGCCCATGACCTCCTCCGAGAGGCTCTTCACCTTCTCCCCTGCCGTCTTGTACAGGCTCCGGAATCCCCGTGCCACCTTGGGCTCCTCCTGCCCGCCGCCTTCGCCGCTCTCGCCGTCGAGAGGCACGAGCGAGGCGCGCAGGTTCTCCGCCCACTCGAGGCAGGTGGCCGTCCCGCGCAGCACGATGGCGATGTCGCGGCGGCCCATGCGGGCGACCTCCCGCTCGGACTCGCACACGGCGACGTATCCGATCCAGTTGGACTGCTGCGTGAGCCACTCGGGGGTGTTGGGGCGCTTCGCCCACGGCGGCATGGACAGCGCCGAGGTGGCGAAGAGGCTCCGCGTCGGGCGGTAGGAGCGGTCGGGGAGCATGAGCCCGCGGTGCCTCGCCGACGCGGTGGGCAGCGAGTGGAACGCCTGGTACGCCGCCTGGACGAAGTCGCCGTAGCGGAGGAGCTCGCGGCGGAGGTCGGAGTCGAGCGGGTCGAGGAGGCCGGCCCAGCCGTCTTCCCCGTGGAGGCTGCGCCAGCGCGGCGCGATGGTGCTCCTCGGCGAGGCGCGCGGGGAGTCGGCGGAGAGGAGCTGCTGCATGTGCATGAGGCTGCGAGGCGACATGTGCTCGTCGGCGGCGGTGCGGGCCCGCATCCCGGGCATGGGCACGAAGAAGGACAGGTTGAGCGCGTTGAGCAGGCCGTGCCTGACGTTGAGCGGCTCCAGCTCCCCGTCCTGCTGCTGCCGCTCCTGCTTGCTCGCCGCCGCGTGGCTCGCCGGCCTCGGCACCTGCGGTGGCTTCCCGAGAACCCGGTCAAGGTTGGCGATGTGCGCCCGGGAGGCCTCCGTCGCCGCGGAACCTGCGAGCTCGGTGCCGGAGGAGGCCGACCGGATCGACTGCGAGCTCGGGTTCAGCGGCGACTGCTCCCGCCGCGGCGCCGCCCGCTGCTGTGGCGTCGGCGAGGCATGCCTTGGCACGACACCGTGCACCTGCGCGGCGGCCGGTGGCGAGGTGACCGCGGCTGCTGCAATTGGCATCTGCTGCTTGGGTCAACGTACAAACGAAACTACTACTACCACTACCGCTTACCGATCAGCCGCTGCTCGTGGTTTCGTTGGTTATTAGTTGTGTGCGAGCGAGAGATGACTACAAGATGGGCTCTCGGCGTGGTGGCTCTTTTATAGCGAGAAGGGGGGAGAAGAGGCCGCCACGGCACCACTACGGAACGAGCAAGTGGTTGGCTGGATGTGGGACGGGGTCACCGGTGCCCTACGTCGCGGGGGATTTGGGAGCGAGGAGCTGCATGCTGGTAGCCCACCGCCCCACCGCGGTCGCGCGCCCGGGAGGGCAACCGCGGTGCGCGCAAGAAGACTTTTCCGGGTCTTCGAGCGTGTGACAGCGTGGATCGTTTTCGCCGATCCAGCCAGCCAGCCAGCCGCAGGTTCCGAGTCCAACGTTACAGCCGGGTGACGCGAGTATACGCGGTGGCATACTGGCATGGCACCTTCACCTTGCTATGCTATGCTAGTAGTAACTTGGAGATTTGTGGCTTGACTCGATTTGCGTCGTTTCAAACTGTCACACCCTATATTGTAAATTGAATTTTGAACCATATATTTTTTGTTAAAGTTTTATTTTTGTCACTCACGAATTATTTTTTTTCGCTTTGAACCAGTTATTTTTGCAAATATTATAACTTTAGATTTGGTGGCTCACATGTCAATGGGATTAACCACTTTATTTGTCCACGTATCACTTATATGGGACCACTCGATATAAGCTGCAACATTTGATAACAATATATAGTCCAAAATGAAAAAAAAAAGTTGCAAGGATGGTTCAAACTAAAATTTTTAATAAAAATATGTGACCTAAAGTATAATCTCTATATGGTTTATAGGCTCGCTGGGTGTTGGGACGACCGTACGTGTTCTTTTCTTTTATGCGGAATAACCGTTTTTTCCCAATTCGCATTTTAGAAACCGTGCGTTCGGCGCTTTCATGTACGGATTTGTTTGGCGCTTGTGGACTTGGATATGTGGGAAAATGTCCCACAACCAAAACTATTGCAGAAGTCCAAAAGTCAACAATGGACTTTTAAGAGGCAGGACTGTTTACGAAGGCAATGGTCAATGAATATTGCTTTCTAGCTGTTTCTTCGATAATTGCGGTAACCAAGTGGTATATATATATATATATATATATATATATATATATATATATATATATATATATATATATATATATATATTGCTATTTACTGGTACTAGAAAATAATCTAAACCATTGATCTCATTCGATTGAAAGGGTTCAAATCTACTTAAACTATCACTTCAAATAGCGGTATTAGAAACATAGAGGGATATTATTATAAAAAAAGTGCGAAAAGTAATAATCATCATTTAGTGGTGAATAAACTTTTTTTTCTTTTTTTTTGGCTTATTTCGATGGAATATGAGTGATGTCAGCGCATTGGATGACCATATGTTGATATATATATATATATATATATATATATATATATATATATATATAGTTACCCTTAATCAATCTATTCGCTTGCAAATTTAGCCTTAATAATTAATGAAAGGATCAGATCATTTTTAATGGTAGTATAATACTACTAATAGAAAGCACGGGAGCATCATTAAGTGATTTCTAAGTTCAGTCCGGCTCGATAAAGCTGATAACCCAAAAGCTATCGTCGTATTTTTTATATCTCTACTTATCCACTATAATGCCCTCTGCTATTTCTCTCTTTTTTTTCTAGGACTGTTAGGCCACTCGCTTGAACCTTGGAAAAAGAAGTCCTCCAACATGTCAAAACCTCTGCCATATACCATGGAAAACCCGTATAATTTCAACCCCAGTGGTGGCAGAGAGTATATCTCGTACGTTTTGAAAGTTTATAGGTGCAAATATATCTACTGCGTCCTGTACAAAATACTCATAAATGAGGAACTAGTTTGATTAATAATCACTTCGTAGTAATCCCTCCTACTTTTGATAGTTATATTTCTAAATCTGAAAAAAAATATTTTTGATAGACATATTTCATTCCAACAACCTATTCTCTTAATAACTTTCTCGAATTGAATGCGTGACTCTCCAGCAACAATAGAGCCCTCCACTCCTCCGCCCCAACGGACACCGATAACAACACCAAATCGTAACAACAAAGGATAACCAAACGGCATAATTGAAGTAATTGAAGGGAATCAACACTGGATTGTGCTATTTCATTTAAAATAGAGGGAACAAAATATAACCCCTAGGGGTAAAAAAAAAAGAGAAACTGTACAAAATTGAGAAGGCCTATACACAATTTGATAGAAAATCCTGTAGCCTCTTTGCTCCCACCATGGTCCAAGTTCTTGCCTCCTCTTTTATTTTTGCCATAAGGTGCCGCAGTCTCCTTGTGTTCGAAAACCCGCCGATTTCTTTCCTTCCAAATCTCCCAAACTATTAAAAGAATTAGGGTCCGAAGGCCTTTCTTGGGCACCTCCTTTGTATTGGCTAGCATTTCCCACCAATTTTAGACGCTCTGATATGGAGCCCAGTGGCACGGGTCTAGTTGCTGGTAAGCCACCTAGGCGGCAGTCAGGCTCCAAATCCTTCTAGTATATCTACAATGGACAAGAATGTGGCTTGCTGACTCACGCGACAAAGGGGCCACGTCCCACTGTTTGGCCATCCTCTAGCTGCTAGCTGGTCTGAAGTCCACACCCTGTTTTGGATCATAAGCCACGCGTAGAATTTACATTTTGGTGGGGGCCGGGCTCTCCAAATTAAGGCGTTGAA